TAGCCATCAAGTAATTAGTTAATCCATAATAAATTCAGAAACAGCTTTTACTCTAGATTTAACACATGACCTATTATTCTAAACATGAGTGTGATTAAATTACAAGAACTAATGAAAATTAACAATAAACATCATCACATTATCAGCCCGTGTATGCATGTTGGGCTAGCTGGTGATCAAAATTAATCACTAGTAAATAATAATATATGAATTAGTTTAATAGTTATAATACAAGAAAATTAAGGTAAATAACAAAAATTTTCGTTAAAAACTAAGCTCAGCTTTTTTTAGCAGATAACCGGTTTACACGTGTCCTAATCAAGATTTACAAAATATTATTCTAAATTAATTTAGATAAATCTAAAGTATTTATAATATTCTAATATTCAAACAGATATTTGAAAAATATTAAGACCGCCATTTAAAAAAATCAAATCGCCATTTTGATTTATTTTCCCTACAGCTGATGAGTTTATGATTGAAACTGGTTTCTACAGGAGGATTCGTGCTTACCGAGCTCACCCAGACTTTTGAACTCGGCTTTGCAGGTTCCACAGCTCAGGGTAGTTCGGGCAGGTGTAGCTGAAATATTCAAAAATATGTTAAGTCTTTCTGGTAATAATCTTAGCTTTTGCAGCTGATCTATCTGCATTCTGCAAGCCTCTTATACAGTTTAAAATAATTACAACAAAAACTTCTCGGATTTATATGTTTAAGATGGCGAATTATAAATATATATTTTTTTAAATCAACATTATTTAATATTTATAGGCTAACTAATATAATACACCCCTTTTCTGGGGGCTAGTGAGATAAGCCACAAAAAAACTTGGTCTTGTTCGTTTAACCGTTTGGGAGTTCATTGGTTACAAACAGAAAACCCAAAAGACAGGCAAACAGATAAGCTAATATCAGATAAAGATAAACCTTGAAGAATATACATTTTTAAAATGAAGTTTCTTCTGATCTATTTTTCGAGGTCTAATAATTTTAAAATTATATAAATCCCTTGTAAGGACTGAAATTATTTCACTTGAGATTGAATAATCCTAATTGATAAAACTGTGAAATAAAGACTACTTCAACTAAGGTCGTCTATTTAATCCTCGGTTATATGGGCCTCTCTGTATACTATTAACCTTAAAATATAATAATAAAATTAAAATTAATTCTACCTATGGCTGCTGGAACAGGTTTAGGAAGAGCTGGAAGCTTGAGCCTGGTTACTCCAGGTACTGGTGGAGGTTTACCCCTGAACTCTGACCCCCCCTGGAGTACACGAGGAGCTGGTGGAGTAATTAGAGGAGGGAGATTGGACGGGTAGGATACACCAGGTGTATAACCAGGACTGGGAGTAAGCTGGATGAGAGCAGATCCAGAGTTCTGTTTCTGGAAGCTGGACACACAGCTAGGATAGGTAAAACTACGGCGTAGGGTTGGTACAGTGGATATACTTCGACCATCCGTAGATAAAGTACTGGTTACAGGTACACCTAGTCATTAGGAAGAATAAAAACAATATTAATAATACTAATAATTCTAATAACAAAAACAATAACAAACACAATAAAAATAACAATAATAATGCACTTTAAAGAGTGGCATTCCTGATTACCAACGGAACCCTTTTAACCCTTTGTCTGATCGATAATGTGGAAATTATCGTCCTTTTTTCTAGCTTGAATTTAAGTGTCTTATTCTTACAATTTTTTATGAGGCAAAAATGCGCAACTCAAAATAATCAATTTTTGAAGAGAAAGAAAGAAGACTTTTAAGAGTACTGTTGTGAATCGGACATGCAACTACATAAATGGAGTCTCTTGAATTTAGGTTAACAGTCCCTTTGACAACCATCCAACGACCATAAAAACTACCTGAAGCTTTCTGTTCAAATGTTGGGAAGTTGGTTGGAAGAAGATTAGAAAACGAAGCTTTTACTTCTTGCTGTTGAGTTGTATACACAGCTGGTGTCTGCTGTTGAGTTGAATAAACAGCTGTTGTCTGATTTTGGGTTGTATAAACAGCTGATCCCTGCTGTTGGGATGTGAAAGAAGCTGTTGCAGGAGGCTGAGAGCTGGCTGCTGTAGCTAGAGCAGCTTTTGAGAGCAGCGCTGCTCCGAATGAAGGCGGGGCGGGTTTATCATCTTCCTTGTAGTTGTCTGTATAGTATCCTTAAGAATTTACATTGTTAGAACTCATTTTAAAATTCTTTTTTAATATTATATAGCCATGAAAGAATAGCGAATTCGTGGATTAAGACTATAGACTATTGTACGGAATTTATAAAGTAGTTTTTCTTACATTCACTGTTCACTAGGGTACTTTAAAAATCAGAATCTTGAAATTCAAAAGGCACTTAACGGACGAGGTTCCTTAGAGTTCCATCCAGAAGGCTCTTAAAAAGAATTTTTTAAAAATCCGAAAATATTTCACGTGTTATACTAGCCCTTGAAGTTTACGTACGAGATTGTGTGATAATTTATTTCATTACAGTAAAGATAAATTAATATTTGTATACAACAAAAAATATTCTTAAATTAATGCTTAAGAAAACTGATCAAAATACTTGGTAACTTATTCTTCTTATTTGTGCATAGAAAAAATCTAATTTCATTAAAATATTTCAGAAAACTTTCAAGTTTAAAGATTAAGTTTCATCAAAAATAGTTCAGACAATTTTCAATGTTGATTGTTAGATAAGGTTGGTATAAATTTTATGAGATTATTAAAAGTTTTGATGTCTTGGTTTCATTTCCTTTTTATTGAATCCTTATAAGTCCCAAAAATGAGGACACAAATTCACGATCAATAATTTCTAACCTGGGATCAGATTCAGTTATTAAGGGGAAGGTGTTCTACTACTTAGACTAAGTTAATCCAATCAACTTGAAATTTAACTGGCTCACAAGAGAAGGGGTTAAATTTAGTCTACATAGTTAAACTATTTCTTGCTATTCATTATATTTGGTCCCTGAACAAGTTTTACTCCTTGTTCTTATTGGTTCAACTAAGATTATTCATAACATTTGAACAACCTTTTAGGAATCATGTATAATAATTATTCTTCAGGAAAGCTTACGAGCCAGAGCAAATGAATTTTTTCAAATAAAAGAAGGTTGAAAAAAAATCTACAGATGTAGGATTATATGCAGGGGTGTATTCAGGAATTTGTCCGGGGGNTAATTTTTTTTTCATTCCAGAGGAGCTCAGCACCTATATGCGCCTGAAAACCTAATGAAATCAAAAGATTTCACTGGTCCAGGGGGCTAATCCCCCATAGCCCCCCCTGAATACGCCTCTGATTGGTGAGTCCGGGAATTATTGGTTTTGGCTTGTGAAGACAAGAATTCACTGAGTTTAGTTTGTCAATATCATGATATATATCAATCAATTCCGCTTTCAAAACCTGATAATACAATATAGAAAACATAAATATGTTGTAGGCTAAGTATCATCAGTATCTTAACAACACTTTTGAGGTTGGCTTAGGCAACATTTTAAAACCCAAGCAAGAGTTGAAACCGCTACACTAGTTTCATTAAGTCTAAAGTATTGTCTTATGCATAGTAGATTTAAATTCGGGAAAAATATTGGTATTTCGCCGAAAACTGAATAATGATATTTCAGACTAGGGGAGGATGAGATCTGACAAAAACTTTGATTTGCAACAATTTATCAGCTACCCTGGCTCCATTATCAGCCTAAAGAATCATAGAATGGGTGTTCTAATTGACCTCATAAAAAGCCTCAAAATATAACTTCTGTAACAATGATTTTGCAGAACCAGGATTAAAACTGACAAGGTTAGATATTATTGATTGTTGTTAAAGATCATAAATCCNCCTCAGTCAACATTGATGAAAGGTTTCTTTGTAATTTTTAATTCAATTTTTTTTATATTTTAACGAGATAGTTTTTACTTATAATATGTTGAAAAAAAATAAATTCAATTATTATATCTTAATTTTTCCCCTTTTAAGAATATTTTTATTTGGAACTTCGTTTCGTTTCTAGTGCCTTTTGAATTTCAAGATTTAGATTTTTTTTAAAGTACCCTAATGTACATTTTGATATTTTCTTTTGTATGTAAGACAGCCACTTAACCTCAACCTTAAAACCCTTATATCTTACGAGTTTTAAGTCATTGTTTAAGTCTCATCCTTTGTGGGTAACCCTGTACCAATCGAAATATAAAAAAAACATCTGTCAAATGACGAGAAATTCTTAAGAACTTCCTGATCTATGCAAGGTAAGTCAAGTTTCAGTATAATTTATCATGGTAAACAAAACAAATAACACTGAATTTTACTTTATACACTTACCAAAAATTAAAATATTACAAATACCTTTACCGCCCTGAGTCGGTACACTAGAGTTTATCACAGGTATGGTCGAGAAAGATCCTCGAGGTCCTTCTCCTCCTAGAGATCCTCGAGGCCCTTCTCCTCCTATACTCTCATCCTCGGAGGAAAGACTAGCAGCAGGAACTGGAGCTGGTAGTCCCATCTTACTCAGCTTCACAGGCAAACTAGATAATATTTATTTGATTGATTAATGGAAAAATTTATTTCTTTGGAATTTTATTGCGGGGTTTCTCCCAATACCAATTTGGATTCGGCTACTTCACGTTGGGTAAAATCTAAAAAAGAGAGAAACCATGCCAATCTTGGAGAAATCTAAAGGTATTTGGAGGTAAATTGCCAGTCAGCGGTGTATGTTAGTTCTGAGACTCATATTACCCACCTTTTTAGAATCACATTTTTCCCCCCAAATCCAAAACTTAACTATAAGTGTATTTTACAGGTTTCTGAAGCCCGTGCAAACTACTGCGACGGCGAGGGGGGGTCAAATCAAATCAAATCAAATCAAATCAAATCAAATCAAATCAAATCAAATCAAATCAAATCAAATCAAATCAAATCAAATCAAATCAGACTGTTAGGGACGCTAGGGGGGTTGATGAGAAAAGTTTTAGACATTTTTTCCTTTCGTATAATCTAATTTTTGTTAACATTGCATATTGACGAAATATAAAACATTTAATATCAAGGGAAGGACGATGGGGGGTTGCAGAGTAGAGATATGAACAATCAAACCAACCTCAGTCTTCTCTGTAATCCCGACCTCCGATCTGAGAAAGTTTTCTATAGTCTCGATATCTTCTGTAGTGTTGAGGTCGACCTCGTCTTCTTCACTATCTTCCTGTTCAACCTTGCAGTCAGCCTCATCCGTTCCAGAGGTTTTTCGGTGAACCTGGTTGGTTCTATAGTTTCGCGAACTTGCTTCAGGCACCGCCCTGTAAAAAACAATATTTTTAAAATTGCCTTACAATTATGCAAAGTGTCGCAATTGTATGCATAAACGTGGTAGTGTAAAAAACGTTTGAATGTTATTTTTCAAGGGGCCATTTTTTTCTTTGTTTTTGTAAAACACGACATTTTGCGGATTTCCCGTAAACATTAATTGATTTATAAAATTTTAATTATCCATAAACATTTAATGTTCTCTCCACAACAAAATTGGGCCTAAATGGTTCAGCTGTTTAGACATTTATTGGATACAGACAGACAGACAAACCATCAAACTAGCCAACTTTATATATATATAGCCTGATACTGTTTTTGTTTCTGTGAAGAGGTAATTCATCTCTTCCCCCTTTCCCTTCTCTCTTCCATCTTGCCTTTTTCCCCTTTCCCCTTTCCTCTTCCTCCTTTTCCATTCTCTCTTCCCCCTTTTCCTTTCCTTTTTCACTTTTCCCCTTTTCTCCTTCCCCTTTTCTCCTTCCCCCTTTTTCTTCATTCCCCCCCCCAAGCTGATATTTTNTCCCCCTTTTTCCTTTTTTCTTCATTCCCCCCCCCAAGCTGATATTTTGCCCCCGGCAAACAGAAGAATATTCACCCCTGTTGCCAGTTAGAACAAATCAAATCAACTTTCTAATATAAAGCTTAGAGAAACCCTGACTAACGGCGAATAAGGAGGGGTATGTTATATGCTGTATGCATACTATTGTAACCAACATTTAAATGTATTAATGTTTATGATCGAACCACATATCCGTTACCTGGCAGGTTTTTCTTTAACGGTTGGAGCAGGCTTAGAAATAGTTAGAGGAGAAATAGTAGTTTGCGGGGTTGGTTGAGGCTGGGAAGGCAGCGCTGACACCTGTATAGATACCGAGGGTGGGATGGATATAGAAGGTTTAGTATGGTTGATAAGCTTAGAGCTATGAAGCCTGGGATCACGGGGTCTCTCCTCCTCCTTGGATACTCCTGAACCTGGAGCAACACCACTCAGAACAAGTTTCAAGCTTTCAGTGGAGGGAAGGGAGTCAAGAGGGTTCAAGGACGGTTTGGATTCATCCGTAGGTTTACTGGATTGTCGGAGATGCTTAGACCAGAGACGTCCAGGTTCCCGAACTATCCGTTCTAGATCTATCTCAGTTGGTTTGAGATCACTGGTTCTAGTTTCAGGTTTTAAGGAGATATCGTCACTGGGTTTACGCGGAGGTTTCGGCAGAATTTTCTTACTCTCCACAGAGGACCGTCGGGGTAGGGCGAGCTTTCGTGGATTTTCAATTAATGGTGGAATAGGTCTTTTCTTGACTGTACCGGATGGAGTAAATTTCATGGGATTGGCAACGCAATTCAGATTAGATAAAACTTCAGTAGTTTTCACATCCGGTTTAATAGACATATTTACTTCCGGTCTCAATGGTTGCTGATCACTAACATCCTTCTTTGAGCTTGACACTTTGACAGGTTCTGGCTTATGAATGGACTTTTGTACAACAGGTTCCGGTTTAGGTACGGGTTTGTGTACAGCCGGTTTCACAACATTTGATCCTACAACCGTCTCGGGTTTCTGTACCAGTTTTAACGGGGATATTTCTGGATTCTTATTCTTTGACCCGGAAAGTAATTTAGTTTCCATCCTGGACTTATCAGATGAAAGTTTTTCCTGGCTTGACTGCTCATGTTTTCCTTTCTCTGAAGTTCCGATTTTTTGTTTTGTTTTACTTTTCTCTGTTCCTTGTATTTCTAGATTGAGTTTAGCATACTTCTTGGTGATCATAAAATCCTTCATGCTAGACTTATTCTTACTTCTCCGCCCATCCTTCTTCTCCGGCTTGTCCGCCATATCTGCCTTGGTCAACTGCTCTTCGAAGGATATTTTCTTTACTTTCTTTATTTTCCTTGCTGGATCCATTCCCTTTATACTAACTATTTCTTTGTCAAGCAACCTTTTTTTAAATTGCGGAGATCTGGGAATTCGAAATCTTGAGTCCCCTTGTCCCGAGGTTGTCTCATGAGTGACCTCTTTGATCGTAGGGACCGGCTCAGGGTTGGGATGGACCTCGAGGTTACTTAGTTCAAGAAACTTTTGGATGTCTCCGATATTTTCTGAGGACGGCGGCTCTGTTAGCTCCCCAAAACTCTGAAAATAATCTAGGTTAAAGTAACGCAATAAGGATGTTAGGTATATCTGGTGGATACTATATATGATTTTAAAGTAAAAAAAATAATGTTTTCACCCTTTATTTTGCATGCTATACAGTTAACGGGTACCGTAACAGTACATGAAAATTTTAATCAAATTTTCTCCTGTATGTGAGGACCGATCAAATCAAATCAAATCAAATCAAATCAAATCAAATCAAATCAAATCAAATCAAATCAAATCAAATCAAATCAAATCAAATCAAATTGGCCCTAAATCTCATGTACCTAGTGTTAAATTTTTGAATTAATAAAAATGATATGAATATGTTTAGTCTCTATACAGTAAACAAGATCGAATGTTTATCTACTTTAAATTAGGACGATAAGGAGGTTAAATTATCTGATCTAATTATTAACCTTGTTGATTGATTTGAGAAAGTGTGCTGTGTTGCCCGAGCTTCATGAACATCAGGTCTGTGTTCGTGTACAGTAGTTTCAATACTCTCAACCGGAGGATGGTGAAGGTTCAAATCTCCGCGTAGAGGCTGACCGAGATCACCTTCAAGGACGTCATCCATCTCCACAAGAGATACTTCAACATCCAAATCCTTATTTGCTGCCTAAATAATATAACGAACTGAATATACAACATATCATATAATTTTACTAGTTGAATTTGTAGGAATTTCAATTAATTGCTTAGATGAAGATTACCAAAGAGATTTCAATCAAACCAAATTATCTTTCTAGAGCAGTCCTACTTCCATTATACCAGTGCTTAGTATCCGGATCCGGATCCGATGGATCCGCAAGATTTTGGATTTCTGGATCCGGATCCGAAAAAAATATGCAGATCCACGGATCCGGATTCAAGGGGTAAAATATCAACCAAAAACTGCAAAAAAAAACTTTTTTACTCCTAGAACCAAAATCTGAACTTTTGAAAAAAGAGAGATTATAAAAATTTCCTCATTTCTAAATGGTTCATAGAGTTTTAGGATAAAAATATGCGAAAAAAATAAAACAAAAAATTTGAAAATTATTTTTTGTTAAAAAAATTCAGTAAATCTTAAAGTAATGACCTGGATCCGGATCCGTTTTTTTCCAGTGCGGATCCAGGATCCGGATCCGGATCCGCATCAAAATTAAATGGATCCTAAGCACTGCATTATACAATTTCAAAATGACTTTACTGCAAGTACCTGAAGTTGTTGTAAAAGCCGAGCAGGTTCTAAAGAATCCTCCTGGTTTAACATATCTTCTTTCCTTTCTATACCATCGGACTGCAAGGGCTCCTACAGAAAAAATATATAAAATAACATTGACACAACTATTCACAATCCATGTTGAATTGTACACATTGTAAATAAAGTAAATTGTATAAATACATAACATAATCTTTAGCTTCACAGTTGGTTACTTTGTAATTGTATCCAACATTTAAATTAATATTGAATTATTTGAAAATCCAAAACTAAAAACAGAAAACTTTCACTTTTATGTATTTATTGTTTGCAAAGTAAAAAGGTTGGAGTTAAAATATTTCAGATGTTATAATTATTAAAAGAAGGCCTGGAAAGCGTGGTATATTATATCTATCTACCTCTCCCTGGACTAAGCAGGTCGAGATGCATTCAGTTTCTTTAATTCAAATTCAATAACACGTTTTGGTCTATAATTCAACGATCTTTAAAATTACGGACTTTTCTTGAAAAACATTTTCACTTGTAACAGGTCCGCCGACAAAATATATAAGAGAAAAAGCGTAAAACTTATGTTTGATAGGTCAAATCGTATCGAAACATATGGACCAAGGCCGAGTTTAAAGAATTTGAGCCGCGGCTCAAATATGGTTGTTTCCACTTAAAATTGCATTTAATTTTTCAATATTTAAGCCGGTGCTCAATTGAAACCGGTTTTTGGCAGATTTAGGCTGCGGCTCAAATTCATTAAATTCGTACACCGAACTGTTAAATTTGCGTGACCTGGTCCTGAACATCTTCTATATCTAGAACTAACATTCTGTCCAGATCATAGTTCTCATCTTCACTGTCCAAATCCTAATCAGATAATTTATTTATTTTTATTACTTTTTAAAATATAAAAAACTGAACTTTAAAAAAAAATTTTTTTTTTTTTTAAATACTTAGTTTGTAGTCGGACATTGTAGGTTTTCCCCTTTTCCCCTTCATCATAAATATACAAAATACATTTTCAATTTATCCTAGATTTTTTTATAATTGAAGATTCTGACATGTTGAGTATTTATGTACCTTCTACACGCTGATAGTTTATTTAAGACACTTTAATTACTTACCCTTTTCACGCTGATCATTTATTTCAGACACGTCGCGTTGATCATTTACCTTATTCACGTTGATCATGTTTACTTTAGACACGTAGATCATTTAGCTTTGACTAGACAGACCAATAGACATATTGATCAGTTACCTTCTACATGTTGATAATTTCACTTTTACACGTTGATAATTTATTGTGACACATTGATTATTTACGACCATAGACATGTTGATCATATACCTTAGACACGTTGATCATATAACTTAGTCACGTTGATCATTTACTTTAGACATGTTGATCAATGATCATATACCTTAGTCACGTTGATCATTTACCTTAGACACGTTGATCATTTATCTTAGACAATAATCATTTACCTATGGCTGGGGACTGGGGATAGGCAATAGCTACATTCATTTTACAGTAACTTTTAATGTTTTTAGACGTTTAAAAGGTTTTACAACAGTATGAGAAGGTTCCAACCTTTTAAACTTTATTCTGTAGAATTTTGCTTTTCTCAAACACGCAAATTTGTTAACCTACAAGAAAATATAAGGCAAAAACGAACCCAAAAACGATCGTTTTAAAACGATTGCTTTTGGGTTAGTTTTTGCCTAATATTTTCACACAGGTTAACAAATTTGCGTGTTTGATAAAAGCAAACTTCTACAGAATACAATGTTAAATCGTTGGACTCTTCTCAGGTTGTCGTAAAACCTTTTAAAAGTCTTAAAATATTAAAAGTTTCTATAAAACAAATCTAGCTATTGCCCGGCAATGTTGCTCAGTTACCTTAGACACGTTGATCATATTGAACTGAGCTCGAAGTGTCTTCTGCATCTCGTGCACGTTCTTTATATGCCCCTTCAGCTTTTCCTTGGACTGAAACCTAAGAATACAATTAATCAATCAATCATCCAACTAAGTGTAGTAATACCGTTAATTTTTAATCTCGATTATTTTTGTTTTCAGACATTTTTTGTATTAAGATGATTTAATTAAGTCTCATTATATTAAAGTAGACATGAACTTAAAACTGTTATATGTAAAAATCTTGAATCTATTGCTTAAGAATTCAAAACAAACTGTGCGTTCAACAAAATATGATATATACTGTCAGATCCTTCAGGCAAAGAATGGAAATTACATATTCTTCATGAATTACGCCAAGTTAAAGATGATAATTCTAAACAATTTTATTGATAATGAGATCGCTACCATGATTAACTTTTTATGTTCCGACTAGAAATTATATTTATATATCTATACTTTATTTTTGTTTTTCTTTTATCATAGTATTGTACCGGACCATTTTATATTTGTAAACGAAATAAATCTGGGGTCGCATAAATTTTATTTTCTACGTACCTTGCATTACACTTTAGACACTTCCATACAACGTCCTGTTGATTATGCTTACTAACATGTATATCAAGCTGGTCGCGTAGCTGGAAGCTTTTCCCACAGCCCTTCAGGGTACACTTAAACAAAATAAATAATTAAATAATTTTTTCAATTTCAGAATTCAAATTAAAGATTGCAGTCGGTCCAAATCTTAAGATTTCTGCTCGTCATATTTTTTACAAGTGACACAATGCAGTCAAGAAACGAAATTCGTTTTTTATTTCTTTGACTTCTAAAAATTGCAATTCATATCTTTAGATTTAAATACTTGTCCTATATTCATACAACTGTTACAATAAAACCAAAATATAAAAAATAAAAAATAGCTGTAATTTTGTAAATTAGGTCTTAACACTTACTAATCTGCAAAACAAATAAACAATATAATTTGTCAAAGTTCAGAATATAGATTAACATTTCTGGGAGTCCTATGTTTTACCAATGATACAATGCATTCAATGCATAATTTGCATATGCAGCAACGCTAAAAAAATAAATAAAAACTATAATTTTGTAAATTAGGCTTCAACCACATATTGTATTGAAAACAAAGAAATAAAAATAACTTGTAATGCTGAATTAAGATTTCACGTAATTTACTTCATAAAAAAAAGTCTAAAGTCCTTTGTAACGTCATAAAATTTTAATCAAATAACTTTATCGACTTGCAATTGATATTTCAAACTTCATAACTAATATTTCCTGCGGGGGTGATACTTGTTAACTTTAATGACCAGTAAGTAAACAAGTTGATTGAATAAAATGAAATATGTCACTACGTTCTGTCACCGGTGTGAAAATACTTTTATTTAATGGTCTCAAAACAAATAAAAATTAAAACCTAAAAAAAACCTTTTTCGCCCGTAATAATAATACTAATTCCAAACCATTGTTTGTAAAAATTCAATATAGCATGGGAAGGTTATTTACAGGATATGGTTTTATTATTTACAACTACTTTACAGGGAAGTTAAGGGAATTTAAATCCACCAAGGGTTCCCAAAACCAATTTTGACAATTGTAAAATTTAGAATTTCCCGAAAAAGTAATTGTATGTACACCCTTTTATCGTCTTTTGAGATGGAAATGCGCAAATTTTTCCCTGAAAACGTTGCAGAGCGGGTTTTTGTTTTACATAACAGTCCCAAGGGACGTTAAGTAACTTAACCTCCCTCTGTTGGGGGAATTATGGGTCGGTTATGCTGATAAAAAGGCGGTAAAAAAAAATTGATTAAACTAACCTTAAAAGGTTTAGCGTCTGAATGATTATGTACGGCATCTCTATGTCTGTAGAAAGCGGATTCCTCGAAGAATGTTTGAGAACATTGATCACAGTTAAACTTGACATGGTAGCTTGAACCAGTGCTCCCCGGCAAGCTGCTCCCTTGAAAGCTGCTACGGCTGCTGCTCCTATGTGAGTCCTGATGGTTCATGCACAGCTTGTGTGACCTAAACCTGATAATCAATAAATCGATTAAAAAATATCAGGAAAAACAGGATCTAAATGCTCCACGGGAAAGAATTAAAATATGAATTATTTTTGATGCTCCGAGTTTTAAACCCCTTTTGATAAAAAAATTTCCATTTTTTCCCCTAGAATTCATTTCGTTTCCCCTAGAAATAGTCATTTAGTTTCCCCTAAAATTCGTTTATTTTCACTATTTCAGAAAAAAACACTTTTATCGCACTGTCTAGACATATCCAACTTCCGGGAGGAAAATATCATTTTCAAAACGGGAGTTTATACCCCTGCAGTCTGCATTTGGGAACTAAAAAAACTGTTTCTTCTATTAGTATTAGCTTGATAAAATATTTGCTCCCTCTCTCAAATTGAACACTGTCTCCAATGTATACAATAAGGGAGTGAATCTTACCTAAATGTTTTAATATATAAAAAATGTCGGAACGGAAATGATATCTACTTAAGCAACTGTCTTGTGTAGTGATGCGGGACAATATGTTTTTCGCCGGGATTTTTACTTTTTTGTTTGTTTAAGGTTTAAATTCAAGATTGTAATTCCCAACGTGGTTATAGTGACTAAATATCTTGAATTTAAACTGAAAACAAAGAAAAAAGTAAAAATCACAACAGTGAACATACTTTCCCAAATAGTAACACAAGACATTTCTTTATATAAATTTATACAATTCACGTTTCATAAAAATGTGCAGTTTTTTAAAAATCCAAATCCGCGAAATTAAAAGGGAAACCTGTTTGCCGGTACAAAATGTTATTTTTTTATGCCTTAGAACAAATAAGAAACATTTTATACCCAAGATCATGAAATTGTGAGTAAAAATGTAGGATTAAAATTCTCTCAAAATTGAATAAAATGTTGTCTAGGTATTTACATCAAAAATGACACCAACACTTTCCCAATTGTCGTATGGCGTTTTCCAGGCCTACCTTTTATCACAGAAATTGCATGAGAATGGTTTACAGGCCAGTTTATCATGATGCTCCAGACCCTGAGCAAATACATTTGTAAAAACTCATTCAAGAGATCAACCCCCCCCCCCCCTTCAACAATTGACAAGTATCATTTATAACAGTAAAAATGGAAGATTATAAATTGAGCTAAGGAATATAACATTAAGTATGTAAATTCGTACTTTAAAATCAAAATCAGACTACTATAGGGCTGTCTTGGCTGTCATACATTCTACAGTTTCAAGACGACTTTAATAATTTAGAATTGTACCCTGGGTTTAATTTATGATTTGTAATCTCCAAAATTAATTTTAGCCTTATTTTTCAGGGGGGGGGGGGAGATAAAAAAATGCTGAAAAATGTTGCAAATAGTATTCCTGAGGATTACAGAAGCTGGTTCCACAAGATCTGCAGGTATATTTCCCAATCCATTTTGTGCTTTCATCAGAATCCATACTGTCGCTCGAGTCATTCCAATCATCAACCGGCTCATTGTCAACCACAGGCTCGATGTTGTCAATGTCGAATTCGTCGTCGTCGTTGACCTGAATGTTTCGACTATGATCACGCTTAGCTGCTCCGACGACATCTTTACCGTTCAAAATGTTGCTGCGACGAATTGTTTTCTCCTTTTTCTTTAATAGTCGTTTCTTCTTTATCTTTGATTCCCTCGGAGAATGTTTTCGTCTGGCATCGTTTTCATTCTCCTCCACATCGTAATTGAACTCGGCACGCTCGATCCCGAGAATTCGTCGAGCCTTCAGCACATCGTCCATGGACGGCCGAGACAGGCGGGAGAAAGTCTTCGATTTTCTCGTGGGTTTACTAAAACAATAATACTGTCTTTATTTAACCAGAATCTACATTCTACAACTTTACCATCATTAATCAATAAAGTAATTTAAGAATTTTACAGAATAAATATAAAAACAGGGGTAAAAATATTATCAAACTTACTTTATTTCTTATAGAATAGACTAATAGAGTATTTATAAAAATTAAAAAAAATTGGGACATGAACTGGAAAGATTCTCCTCTTTTTGATACAGTTTCTCAAAAATAATCCCAAAAAAATGTCTTAAATACATAACATTTTTTGGGGCGCTACATGCAAACGTTCTTAATGGACTGAATGGAAAGAAAAAACAATTTTTAATGAGTGTGTGGGAGGAAATGAATTTTTAAAAAAATACACACCCCTGATTAACTATTGTACTCCGCTTTAAAAATGGACAATAAACATGTTGTCAAATAATTTTGAGAAATTCACCTAATTTGATCTGGACCAAGATATCTAACAGTATAATTCTTATCCGCCTCCGGATTAGAAATCTAGAAACACAATAATAGAAAGTTAATTCGAAAAATTCACTTTGAAAATTCATCCATTGATTCTGCAGCATAGATCCCAGTTGATAATAATCAATTTTCAGATAGAAAAATAGGATTTCTGTAATTGAACAAGTTTAAAAGGGTTGCAGTTGTGAATCAAATAGGAAGGTCGCTAAAAATTACGATACTGGATACTGGAATATACCTGTTTATCAGTCCAATATGAGTTCCGAACCAGGATAGATATTAAATTACAAGATATTCTCGATATTCGGCTTCTTACAAAAGACTCCTGAAGTATAGAACTTCATAAAGATATATTAGAAGAAATCAGAGAATTTTTGTGGAACCTGACGTGGCCGCAGGAAAAAAACAAAAACAATTTAATTCTAATATTTTTTTCAAATTAATCAAAATTAGATATTTTGCGTAATTTTTTTTTGTCATTATAAATCCAAAAAGTCCAAGAAGAACGGAAAGCATCTTTAAAAACTTTGTTATCAAAAAAATGTTAGGATCTAACCAACCTGACGCATTCTGTTTACTAATCTATCAAGTCGGGAGTCGCCACTAAAAAAATGTAATTATATTTTTCTCTAAAAATTATTAAAATTAATATAATAGTACATTTAATTCGATTTAGAATCAATAAATATCAAATTAAGAGAAAAAAAGCAAAATTAAACATTTTCAGATTGTTTGATTAAGACAAAAAAACCAGAGATTTAAGTTATTGATCAATTGTTACAATCCAACGCCAATGAATGTTGTGTTTAAAGACCGATATTTTGATTGCACGAATTACATAACAAAAACAGGTTTTTACATGCGAGATAATCGTCTCTTATATAACTGGTGGTGATCTGAACTCATCCGGGTGGGACCAGCTGAATTGTAAAAATCGACCAAGGGGTTTATATTTATTTATTTAAAATGATTTTTATCAGAATTTTAGAAAAGAATAAAAAAATATAACATGAATTTATTTGCCCTTAAAAATCATTTATTTCCCAAATTCAGTAATGAAACCCAAAAAAAAAATAATATCATACTGAGAAAATGATTTTTGAAAAGGGAGGGAAAATTCTAACAACAAATATATACCCTGTATAAGACACGTGCAATGATTAAGTACCTTGAGTATGGAATGAGGAAGGTTGGTTCTCCTCTTCTTTTCCGTTCAATCTTAGGATTATCAACATCCTAGAAATAAAATCAAGATTTAAAGGGATTAAGGGGTTCCGAACAGCAATTTTTTATCACTGCTCACTTCTTTGTCAAAAGCGTCTTCAAATGAAGCTTTTCAAACATCCGGAACATCGTTGGAATATTATCATTTCCTAATCCATTAAAAAAATGATGAACTTTCAATATGAGTATTGAGTAGTATTGAGTATGAGTGTAGATTGATTTAAAAATTGATTGGTAAAATCTTTATTTACACCCAATGTATCTGTAAAATTGCTAAATCCTTCATTCATTCAGCACCATAAAGCTGTGAAATAGGCAGACGAAATTCATACAATCTTTGTTTATTTGGTGTTGTTAAGAGCTGATAAGTGGCTACAAAATCAACTAATACAGTGAAATGAGTCTGTGTACACTGCACAGTTTTAAAATTTAAACTCGAGCCTTTCAATCGTCTTATTCTACAGTTGTATGGTTCTCAATGAAGTACGTGAAATGGCATGTTTGTGGTCTTGAAGTTTAATACAGAATTCACGTTTAAAATATATCAAAAAGAAATGAGAGAACTGTTGTTGAAGTATCTCATTTCATTTTTCCTACTCTCCCAGGGAAACAGTCAATAAAAATTCTGGTTAGACATCGAAGGAAAAATATAAAAAGACATTTAAATAAAAAATGACTGATTTAACTTAATTAATTTGCAGGGCTTTTTGGGAATAAAATTTCTTAACTACTCGATTTAATTATAGAAATTTAATTTAATAATTTTTAAAATATCAATTTATCTGGTTCCTTCTCTTAACCTAGCTTTTCTTTCAAGGATTAAATAAGTAGATCGTTTTAGAAACAATACCTTTAATATCTCAGATAGTTCTCTGTCGTCTCTGTCTATTTCAAAATCGGCGGGTTTCCGCCGTTTGGACGTAGCGGAGGATTTAACGGATTTCCTCTCTAGAATGATTTGACGATATGGCTTCGGAATGATCGCCCCTAATTTTGCTACCTCCAGGGATCGTCGGCGCAGAGGCTTCAATCGAACTTCGATACCTGAATCTGATTTATTAGAATCTCCTCTATCTGATAGTTTGTTTTTGTTAAACTTTTGTTTGGATTTTTCTGATTTTGAAGATTGAGTGCTCCGCAACTTATTTTTGGAAAATTTGACTCCGTCTCTTAATCGCTTAAGCTTACGCTCTGCATAGTTCAGCTGTTTACGGCCAGCTTTGGTCTTTCTTCGATCTCCAGCATCTGCTGAACTTGGATCAGCCTTCTTCAGATTTTCTAGCAGCTGAAGCTGTTTCTGAATGAACAATTCCTTATATTTGTCTCGTAGTTTCTTTTTTGGTCGACCAGGTCCAGTTTTCGTTGTATTCTTACTACATTGAGGCAATATCGGCATCTCTTCGTCTTCATCCGATACAATAATAATGGTTTCGTTGATTTTCTGCTCAGATGGCGGATTTATCTTCACAGTTGGCGGATTTTCGAATAATTCGGAGGATTTGATTGGCTCCGGCTCCGGTTCCATTTCACTCTCAGATGAGAGATGAAATTCTCTGGAAAATATGGCGTCGTCATCCTCCTCCGCTATTTTCTTCTTTTCAGGTCTAACAAATGGTCAAAGTTATATTTTTTATAAAGGCGACTTACCTTACCTAAATCTTAAGATTAAGGCATTATGAGTAAATCTTAAAAAATAAATAAAACCTATGAAAAAATTGACAATAAATCACACCTTTACCAAAAAAAATCGAAAAAACATGCACGACTATTTTTGAGCTACTAGGTCACAAATTTTAATTTAAAAAATATAGATTTTCCTCTATATAATGGACTAAAAACATCATTTCAAGTAACCCTCCATGGAAAGATGGCAATGCCAGATTCACAACAGTATCATTAAATCTGAGAAATAATGTGGAATATATTTCTTCTATGTTTAATTATGTTTACCTCTGATAAGTCCTTTACGTTTTCCTGCAGTAGAAATGCGCAAATCACTTTGGCAAGAAATGCACAAATAAAAATTTTCCGTTTACAACAACAAAAGCAGGGAAATCTAATTATTTCCTGATCAGGCAAAGCGTACCTTTGTAAAGTGTGCATTGTCATCAGTGCATGGGCTGTCAATTGAAATTACGCTTACAGTCCCTTTAAGAAAACAACCCCAGAAAAAATGTTGCCACTGAGCGTGAACATATTTCCCAAAAAAATATTATTCGGTATTCCAAAAAATATTACCCCTGCAACAAACTGGATTAGTTAAAATATTGCCGAAATAATAATTATCATGCAGAATGTAAAGTAGCACTAAAAACTAATTTATAAAACTAAAGAAGATTCAATTTTATATAAATCTTTAGCTTTAATAATTAAATGAATTGCGTTCGACATTTATTCGTGTCTAACTAACCATTATAAGCAATAACCTGCTTGTTTAACCAATTTGGACTAGAAACCATCACTCGATGTACTTTTGGTGAAAGTCAAAAATAATTTTTAAATATTTGGTGTTGGGGCATTCCATGTCTGTTAAGATAAAGCCCAGAAATTGCCATATCTGATTAGGCGGAAATTTAAGCAAAGCTTGATAATCAAGAAAAGCTCATTTAATTTATAAACATTATTGGAGAGACCTCCGGATTGAAAATTAGGAAGCTAATAACAAAAATTTGTTTTAAAATCTTAAAATTTTATTTTTATCATCTTAAAAAATTTAGATTTTGCCAGACTATAGTTTGAAAAATATTGAAAAACCAATCTATCGTTAACTTGAATAAGGCAAAGTAGCTATTTAATAATATTTTTCCGATAGTAAAAATATTGTAAAAATACTGCACTGGTTTTTAATTAAACAAAAACTCGTAGCTATAAGAATGTATCTGTAAATTCTAGGTTCTTTATAAACTCAAAACTCAGTGAACCAACTATTTTTATTACACTCACTCGTTGAAGTGGTAAAAAAATCTTGACTAATAAAAAACACCACGGAAAGTATTAAAACACTTTGATGAGCCAATTTTTATGATGGAAACCTGAAGCCATAACTTTTGTGATTCACGGGAGCAAGCTTTGATCTACATCTTATGCACACACCTACGGTTTAATTTAATTCCTTTTCAATATCCCATGCTAGTTATACCCTAAAGGAGTAACTTTATTAGAAAACGAGCATCAAGATCCTAACATTTAAAGAGTCTACGTTGGGTATCAAGATTTAGCGTTCAAGTTTAACGATTCATGATACAAAAGTTCCATCATCTGAGTCCGAATTTAATGAATTTGAGCCGCGTCTAAAATCCCCCAAAATCCGGTTTCAATTGAGCGCCGGCTTAAATCTTGAAACATTGAATACGATTTCAAGTGGAACTAACCGTGTTTGAGCCGCGGCTTAATTTTAGCCGCGGCTCAACTTGTTTAAATTTTGCCTCTGATTAAATATCTGCTTTACTTTAAAGAATTTCAGGACATTAATCAAGCTCCTTTAAAATATATAAAGCTCAGACACAAATTTCTTTAAATAAGATTTTTTATTTTCCAAATTTCTGGCCTTGTTAAGCATTTCAGCTATTACTTACATGATCTTTTAAATGTATCTAGAGTGTATTAAAATAGCTCTGTTAAAAAAGAAAATACGTTCCCCAAATAAAAAAAAAAAGTTTTGATAAAATAATTTTAACCCTATCTCGACAAGGGGAGGGGAGGGGGCATTGTAATTAAAAATAGGCAACAAACTGCCTTAATCCAGTCCTTGGATTTCAATATTTTATAGCTCTTTGAAAAGCCTACAACAAAAGGAAGCAGATTGCACAATTTTAAGAAATTAAACAACGATTTATGCAAAGACGCCTTCAGGAAGTTTGCACATTTTCAGTTTTCTTTGAATACACACAATACACATAAAGGTTTTACAAATTTTCAAATATTTTTGCGTAAGAATTCTGAATACATTTTTTCTTTAAATAACTGGATTGCGCAATAAGTATTTGCATTGTTGCAAATTTGTCATTTTATCAGTTCATTGCAGTAGAGGAAGTAGCAGTATTTTGGGTAGAGGAGACGTAATTAGGAACTAGGCTAGGTTAGGAAGTTCGCAGATTTTTAAACATTTTTTGTTCGCGCATTTTCGATTACACATTTATGTAATTTTGAACATCTATAGACCTTCCCAAGGGTCATGTGAGGTCCCACACAAAAAAATTTGGGACCAATCAGTTTGGCCGTTTTAACGTTTATTGGATAGAAACGAACAGACAGACAGACAGACCAGCTAAGTATGTATTTGGATGAGGGTTATGATTGTGTTTAAAAAAAAATCATGAAAAAATGGCATGCAAAATGGTTAATTTGTTAGTGAAGCAAAACAAAACATAACCCAGTCTTATTTTAACAACATGGATTCAGAAATAATAAAAAAACTTTTTATTCAAGACCTTGCACATTCTTAATTAAGAATTGATCTTTTGAAAGATAGAAATTTTAGAGTAAAAAATTCAAACATATATTGTTGAGTAAATTCTTTGATTTGAAACAGTGCATAAAAAAATTGCGTACAAAAAAGCACGAAACCATGACATTTTACACATATGGGCAGGGCAACCCACAATAAAAAATTTCCCTCGCCCATTTATTAGTTTTTAAGGCAAAGGTCGCAACGAAAAACATTCCTCCAAACCACAATAACTTTAAAAATTGGACGCTCATGTGACAAAGTGCTAGTATGGGAATAAACGAAAAAAAAAACACAATTGAAAATGAAATTAGATTTTATAATCTGGAATGCAGAACTGTTATTTTGATTTCCTAATTGCATCATTGAATTTAATTCTTGAACGAGGGAGGGGTGGCTGCTCTCAGGGTTTTGGAGTTACTCCCAGGGTTATGGAGTGTTTCCTAGGGTTTTGGGGTAATTGTGAAAATTTTTCCGATCTTTTATGAAGTTCTTTAAAAAGGGCACTTTATGACCAGAAATTTGAAAAAAAGGACTTTGCTTCGCCTCTTTAAATGTCTTTGTTAAGATAATTGTAAGAGGGGAAAAATCACAAATTTCAGTACAAAAAAATTTCGGCGATCATATAGTCTTGATTAGACAAACTGACGACATTTGTTTAGATTTAACATTAAGCATTATTTGTAAATGTAAAACAAACTTTTTTTTAGTTAGATACGGTTTCATTTGAGATAGTCCAATACATTTCAACATCTTATAAGTTACCTTATTTTCAAGTTAAAATAATCTTTAATTAATTGTGGTCATTAAAAATTTTAAAAAAGTTTTCCTCAGAAATCTCGATAATTTGAGTAGTGCGCGCTATACAGAAGACTGTAAATTAGACCAAGAACAAATAAGTTAATGTTGGATAAAAATGTTATATTAATAGAACAGTTTTACGAGATTCCCACCCCTCTTTTAAAATAATCAATCATCTAAAAGAGTTTGGGAAGGTTAGTGTATTAGTCAAAGTCTCTAAAAAGCGGAGATAAAGTTTAAGAATTTGAATAACGAACAAATTTGCAATACTACTTTTGGTTTGAATTTATGTCCGAATTTTTTGCTAAAAAATGTTTTAAATCACAGCAAAGTTAAAAAAATTGTTAATGGTTTAATTTTCAATAATTTTGGTCTTTAGGTGGGTTAGTAATTTTTTTTCAAATTACCTACCTAATAACACATAACGCCATTTTAATCTGAAATGAAAACCTAATCCTGAGTTAGCGCCCCGATAATCATTTTCCTGAAAAAAATTGTTGACCTGGCAAAATCTAAAATGGCATCGTTATATTTAGAACTGAAACTTAAACACAGATTTAATATTACTTGTGACCATAACCTAATGAAGATCTCAGATTGGGCGGGGTTTGATTGTACCGGCCCGCCCTCTGGTGGGATGGACTGTACCGGCCCGCCCTCTGGGGACAGCCGAAATATTTGCGGCTTTTCCTCCGGTAATTCGTAGATTTGCACCATTTCTTGATTCAGCAACACCTGCTGGAACATTTTACTATCTTCATCAATATTTATATGGGAAAAATGCTCGGCTTTAGCCGGCGTTAATAAATCTTTTGTCGTAAATTCCGAATATTCTTCCTCGACAAATTCGGATTTAATACTCGACGCAACCTCAGTTTCCGTCGAAATTAAAGAATCCGTCGAAATATCGACAATTTTCACATCAAGTTTGTTTTCAAATATCTCCTCAGTATTGTCTTCATCTGTATCACTCTCAGTCAGGCTTCTCAGCGACCTTGAAGTAAATTCCATCGTGAATTAAATGGCAAAGAAGACAGTTTTTAAAATTAAATTACAGCCTGAACATATTTTTTTCATGAAATTGAAAAGACAGCATTCAAATCTCATAAAAGGGAGTGAGAGTTAAACTGAGTATGCAGTGTTGTGGAAAACTTCTTTCGGGTTCATTTGAGAAATATAAAACTTTTTAATGATCTGTAAATCCTGAGTTTGCGCGCAAATTCAACGTTCAAAACTCCTACTTTGGGGGTGGATACGTTTTCAGAATTAGTTTTTTTTTTTAATTATTAAATAACGACGACATAAAATGTAAAAAAATTCTACAATAAACTACAGAAGTCATGTATAGGAACACGTTGAGAAAATAAAAATTAATCTTATCATCACAAATATGTAATCGTGTTCATTAGTTTCTATTTTCTCATTATTCTGGTTTCTCATTTTTCACAAAGATGTTTGCAAATTTTCTAGAATTACTATTGAAAAGACGACATTTGAAGAATTTGAAGAAATCTGCGAATAAATTCAAAGAAAATAAGAAATTCAATATAATACTGAAAACGAAATAATCGATTTTAGCATTGATTTATTGACAAATTTCTTTTGAGAAATATGTTCCTAACCATCTATTTAGATTTCTGTATAATTTTTACTTTATTTTTCGTTGTCGTTATTTAATAATTAAAAAAAAACTATTTCTGAAAACGTATCCACCCCCAAAGTAGGAGTTTTGAACGTTGACTTTGCGCTCATCTCAGGATTTAAAGATCTTTAAAAAGTGTAATATGTCTCTAATGAATCCGAGAGAAGTTTTCCACATGCATACTCAGTTCAACTACCTTACATAGCCGGTCACTCCCTTTGAACTGCTCTTTAAAAACATCATATTGTGATCAATCCATCAATCAAGATACAAATAAATTTTAAAATTAGAATTTTTTTTTAACCAAAAACTTGCCAGTGATAATGTTTAACTACATCAATATTTTAGTCCAGTAGACCCTTCTCTTTTTGAAATTTAGGGCATAAGCGGGAAAAAAATAGTCAAATCCTAAATAAAAAAGAGAGAGACGGCAAAGCATTTAATTATCTAAAAATGCGTCACTAACAGACCCAGTTCAATATGAGAAATGATTTAATTAACTCATTACTACAATGTACTCACTATCTTTCATTTTTTAGTTGTCTCGACTATCTCGACAAATTTTGGCGTTTATATAATTAAAAGAATAGATAAATAAAATAGAGGTAACTTGGAAGAAATTGAAAATTATTCAGTAAATGACATTTGCCTCTATTTTTAGGTCAAAAAAAAAATACATTTTCCACACAACTGCAACATGAACGTAAACATACCAGGTGTGTATAATTCCATGAAAAATCATTACCCTCCCCCCTCTCTGGAAATTTTTTTTTCATTTAGAAGTTGGCCATGCTTACCATGTTTATTGTTTACCCGTAGCGCAACATTTTTAGCGGGGGGTTTAGTCGCTAAATTTGAGAGGAAAATAAGTGTTCAGAAGAAATTAAACAAATTTTTGGCAAAGAATGAAAAAAACTTGCCTTTTCATATCCAATTTTTCATTTTTTTTCTATGTATAAAAACATTTTCTTCAGAGGGGGATAATTCTTAAAAATATACACCCCTGAATCGTACTGCAATGTATATTATGTACATCATGTTTACTATACCCACCTAGCTCGGATGGTGGGTAGAGCTAGAGCAGAAGATTGAGGAAGCAGTCCCCTTGGCTCGGACCCAGGAGTTGCGTACGCCTAAAAACCAAACTTCGTAATATAATTTCCGTCACACAAACCCCTAGCGTAGAAGGCAAACGATTCGGGTTTGTTATTTTCGGAGCAATTTGGTTAAGTTGGGGTCTAACGGGACCTTTCGGGAATAATACGAATGAAATTAAACTACTCCAAATGCCGCCGTGTAAATCTTGGTTAGAATAAGTATATGTTTTTTTGCTATATTTAAAATATTATTTCGGGTCTTATTTTTATTGTATAATACTTTTGTAATTAAAACCTTTCATGTAAAAAATGCCATTTTTTGAAAATTCATAATAATATTTATTTCCTTTAAAAAAGATGTGGCTGATTTATAATTTATACCTTATTAAACCCCTTTTCAATTTTTTCTCTTCTACTCTCGCGTTCCTTTTCAGTTATCTCACTCTCAAGATCACTAAGGATCAAGTTCAAATTTTTTTTTAAGCATTATCTTCCATAGATATTTTTATGAGGAAAAATCAAATTCAAAGTTCAAGGTTGCTTACTCTTATATTTGTGACGAAATTCAAAATATGAACTTTCCTAATGATATTTTTCAATTGTTCATTTTTAGAAAAAGTCTTCTCTGAAATTTCATTAGAAAATCCACAAATTTTCTCCGTTGAACTTTGCTCCAAGGAATCCGGGAAGGCGAAACGAATTCGAGGATTTTGATGAATTATTGATTTGTTAGTCAGTCGGTTTACAGAAACCATCATTTTCTTCAACCGGAAAGGTTCGACGGTTTCGTTAGAATCGCTCTCGAAGGAGCTTGAATCCTCTACTTCGTCGTCGTTGGATAGTTTTGGCTGCAAATAACTGAAAATGTATAAAATAAATAAACGATATCAAAACTTATTCACAAGGGTTACACAGTCGGTTAAAGGGGGATTATGTCAGGTGGCCCTCTATACCTGGTTACGAACGGAATCCGTTAAATCTTAGTTTTAACAAAGTTATATGAAAATGTCCTTGCTTCGCTATCTGAAAATCGATAACAAACAAGTTGGACTTTTTTTTGGAATTATGCAGCAGGCGCCATAAAAGGTCATAATGTTGAGAAATCACCCCCAACCCATCTTTGAAAAAAAAATTTACCCCTGAGGCTGAAAGTTGGGTATGTTTTTGGTTTTGGGTTTCTTTCGCTGAATTTGGGAACACGTATTATTCTTAAGGGAAAATTATCGAAAAAGGTTAAAAAATTCTTGAAATTTGACAATCCTAAGACTATTCCAGATAAGACTATGTCTTCCTCTTTATTATTCATCTTAAGGTTAAATTATAGTAATAATAATAACTGTACACCCATTAAAATCAACTTTTTGTACCTTAGTAGAGATTTAGTGGAAGGAGTAGGATTTAGATTTTTTAACCTCTCACTCTTTCTTTTCTTTATCGACTTAAGAACATTAATCCCTCCACGGATTTGAATTTGGTCCTCGTCCTCCTGTGGTTCGTCCTTACTGGAGGACGTAGATTCTTCTCTACTTGAAGAGGGTTCGTCCTCTCCCCGTCTTAGAGGTGACAGGGTTAGTTTGACCCGGGATCCGGGTAAACTTAAACTTTCTTCTTTAGTCGTAGCCCTAAACAGTTTAAAAAATCTATTAGATTAAGAATACATAGACGTTTAATAAATTTCCAGAACAATGTGTATAAAAACTAACATTATTATGTTAATTATATTATTTTTCAGCTTAACCACGATGCTTGAAAGCTTTGCCTAATGTGTGATGTGTAAAGAAACTATAATTTGTTCAATAATAAATCTGAAGTTTTGATAAATTCAAGATCGGAACTGTTAATAAAAGTTTCAACTTAATTTCAGAAGAAAGATATTTGAAAACTTGAGTCAGAGACAGAAATTACTAATCCGTTCCAATTTTACGGGACGGCTTCAAAATATAGATGCACAACAGCGTAAATAATAATTTGATCCTAAGAAATGCATTTCCATGATGATTTCTAATTAAAGGGCCAAAACAGTAAACTTTAAGTGCAAAATATATAACTAAAAATAATTCATTTGTATCACTTGATAAGACTAAAATATTAAAATTGAAAATTTTAAGTAATTTTTCAAAAGTGTCAGATCAGTTCCAATGGTATGGAACACAATGTGCCTCAAAAAATGCTATTTTTTACAATTTTGCATTAAATATGGCAAGTTATATAAGACATAAAAAGGTTTATCATTTTCAATTTAGTTTTTTGAGACAAGCATGTACTCAGAAACAGGGTGTATATTTTATTAAAAAAAATTTCCCCCTCTTTAATGTTCCATGAATAATTTTTTTCCCCAAGCACCAAAACTTATTAAGGGGAGATACAAACCTTAATCTTTCTTTAATAGTTCTACAATATTTAACTTTAATTCGTTTAGTTGCTTGCAGATTTAAAACTTGAAAGAATTCTTCTTTTGAAGATAAAATATCAGTTTTACTCGGACTCTCGGGCTCTTCCATTTTATCTGAAATATTGACATTTACAGAAAAAATACTTAGCTTTAGTCCGTGAATTTTTCCTTTCGTGATAAATAAATAGTAAATATATTATGTAAAGATAATTATGAGCAAGATCTGGACTTAATTCCCTTTAAAGAGGGACTGGGACATCCCCGACTCACATCGGTACCCTGAAGTGAATTTCTATATTCTGCTGAATCTAGAAAGTAATTTTAAAAATTTCTATATTTAGAAACAGCAGAAAAACGACAGTTGAGATGGCTAAGATATCGGGTAATTATGTTCGACATGGCGGAGACTAACCAAAAATCGTATATTGGGAAATTACCCAATTTTGTACATGAACACTAATTTTCAGCAAATTATTATTTATTTTTTATTGTTCAAGAGTTACGTTAGGACAATTTTTGGGCCGAGCGCTTCGGCTAGGACAGTCTAAGGGGCCGAGCAACGCGGCTGGGACAGTCTAAGGGACCGAGCAACGCGGCTTGGAATGTCTAAGGGGCCGAGCAACGCGGCTAGGGGACTGGGCGCACCGGCCACATGATCATTTGTATCCAAGTGTTATATATGAGATCCATGTACAAAATTGATTGGAGGGGGGGTGGCCAAAAATCGTAAACTAGGAAATTACCCTAAACCGTCCAAATCTGGCCTATTTAATGTGACACTGTGGTGTCAAAAGCCTAGTTGCGGACTGCGCAGGAGCACTGAGTACTGACCAGGCAAGGGCAGGCAGAGACGACTTGTTTCCGTACTCCGCTATAAGAGCATTGCCGCAAACTGTTCTAGAAAAATTTAAAGATTTTCGAACAGCTTCTTTAAAAGTCGTCTTTTAAATAATATACCTGTTAATTTTTGTTGTTTCTTATTTGTTTCTCTTATACAGAGTGTCCCAAAAAACACGGGAATTCAGTGACGAATTGGATATCGTCTTTGTTATGAATTAGCATTGTAAGACCTGATTTCACAAGCCATAATATTATTATGTCTGCTAGAGTTTATTTTATGAAAAAGGTAAAAGACTGTAAAGATGTGTCTATAATGTCTCCGCAAGATGAACAGTGTAGACGGACAAGATTATACTACAATTTTCTTGTTTTACTAAGTACAACGGTATAACAGTCAAAACATAAACAAACAAATTGTGAACACAGCAGACGAAACTCTTACAGATTACTGCTTTCTCAGTATGGTATCACATACTAAATCAAAGAATTATTTTAAAAGACGATATCGAATTCGTCATTTAATTCCCATGTTTATTGGGACACCCTGTACCTAACAATATACTTAAACCTATCAAATTTTGTTTTATACAATAAAGTGATGGAACCCAGGTAATAATTTTGCGTAAAATCCGCGGAAATTCCTAGGAATCTCCTGAGAATCCGCAGAAATTCCCAGAAATCTTTCACTGGAAAATCCGGTGTAAATGTCGACAGCAATTCAGAGGAATTTCTCGTAACCCATTCCAAGGAATTTCTCCAGGTCCGAGAAATTTCTTGTAACCCATTCCGAGGAATTTCTCATAACGGCCTATCCAATTGGAATTTCTTGTAACCAATTCCAGGTATTTTCTTGTAACCAATTCCATGGGGAATTTCTTGTTAACAATTCTGCAGAAAACCGGAGAATATGTCGACAAAATTTGTGGAAATTCTTGGGAATTTCCAGAGAAAAGTTCTTTAGATTCATTTCCTGGAAACTATTCCCAAGATTTTCTCAAGAGTTCCTCAGGCATATCATGACTTATTCTCATCATATTCCTGAGTAGACACAATAGTAGTGAATAACTTAACAACCTACTGTATTGCCCCTCCAACTTTTTAGAAGTATAACCAACATCTTAACCAGAACATTTCAATCATTTTTGATCTTACTGAAGTTGCCATGCATTTTGTTTATTCAGAAAACTGAATTGTCAAGAAAAAATGAAATAATTTTACATTTTTTTCAAAACATTTTTCTTTAAAGATGGTTCTAAAGTAAATTATTTTTTAATAATAAGGATGAAAAGTAAAAAAAGATTTCGTTAGGGCAGTACATAATAGAAGAGAACCTCTGAGACTCCTGAGACACCTATTGGAGAAAAATGGAACTTGAAAATTCTGTAATGAAGTCCTAAGAATTTCTCAGGAATTTCCGGAAAAATATTCCTTAGAAATTCTTAGGAATTTCTGGGGAAAAATTCCAGAGGAATTCTCGGGAATTTCTCGAAACCAAGTCTTTAATTCCGTTCCCGAATCAAAAGAATTTATCAAATGACGTATTGAAAAATTTTCAATAGCTGTTTTATATTTTACTTATTTTACGTATTTGCTAAAATAAATAAATAGCCATGAATATGCGGGAACAATTTTAAAGAGCTCCATATTATCATTTAATTAAAAAACTAAATATATGCAACATTCCATTATCAGAAAGTGAAGAATACACCATTTGATGAATTTTTTCGATGTATGGCTTATAGGGTTTAACTGTTACAATTTGGAAAAGGCAAGAGTACTGGGTCATTTTGTGATTTTTTTTAGAATTATACCAATGTTGACAAAAAAGATCAGACAATTTTCAATTTTAAGTTGTCTTTCAAATCATTGTTAAATATTTTGCATTTGATGAAAGGATTTAATTAATAAATTTAATGTACTTAATATATAATTCCAGACAGGCGACTCTAAAGTCGCTTAGATATCTATTTTTTTAAATAAAATATGTATGCCAACATAAAAAAATAGTATCACAGGTTTATTTATTTACTAAAAATGGTTTTGGTATAAAATATTTTTGATTCGAAAAAGGGATCTTTTGCAAGCAATGATTTTTTTAAATATTTGATTATGCAATCAATGTTATAAAATAATGTTACTATTGTCTTCTTATTCTTCTTTTTTCTTTTCTACTTCTTTTGGCTTCAAACCAAACATGAGGAATGCTGAAAAAAAACTTTAAATATTTTTTTTCCATAAAAAGCAAAGATATTTCAATACTGAAAAGTGATACAATTTTTAGAAAATTACCTGTATAGCAAAGAAAGGTTAAAGCCAGTGCAATGATAGCATACATAAATACCCCTAATTCTAGCTGTTTATATCTAAATAATAATATACATAAATACCCCCAAATCTAGCTGTTTATATCTAAATAATAATATGCATAAATATCCCCAAATCTAACTGCTTATATCTAAAAAATAATATACATAAATACCCCCAAATCTAGGTGTAGTGTTTATATCTAAATAATAATATACATAAATACCCCTAAATCTAGCTGTTTATATCTAAATAATAATAGCGCATAAATACCCCCAAATCTAGCTGTTTATGTCTAAATAATAATATTCATAAATACCCCATAATCTAGCTGTTTATATCTAAATAATAATATACATAAATACCCCCAAATCTAGCTGTTTATATCTAAATAATAATATACATAAATACCCCCAAATCTAGCTGTTTATATTTAAATAATAATAAACATAAATATCCCCAAATCTAGTTGTTTATATCTAAATAATACTATACATAAATACCCCCAAATCTAGCTGTTTATATCTAAATAATAATATGCATAAATAACCCCAAATCTAGCTGTTTATATCTAAATAATAAAACGCATAAATTCCCCCAAATTTAGCTGTTTATATCTGAATAGTAATAAACATAAATACCCCCAAATCTGCTGTTTATATCTAAATAATAATATGCATAAATACCCCCAAATCTAGCTGTTTATAGCTAAATAATAATATACATAAATACCCCTAAATCTAGCTGTTTATATCTAAATAATAATATACATATATACCCCCAAATCTAGCTGTTTATATCTAAATAATAATATAAATAAATGCCCCCAAATCTAGCTGTTTATATCTAAATAATAATATACATAAATTCCCCCAAATCCAGCTGTTTATATCTAAATAATAATATACATAAATACCCCCAAATCTAGCTGTTAATATCTAAATAATAATATACATAAATACCCCCAAATCTAGCTGTTTATATCTAATTAATAATATACATGAATACCCTCTAATCTAGCTGTTTATATCTAACTAAAAATATACATAAATACCCTCAGATTTAGCTGTTTATACTTTAATAATAATAAACATTAATATCCCCAAATCTAGCTGTTTATATCTAAATAATAACTAACATAAATACCCCCAAATCTAGATGTTTATATCTAAATAATAATATACATAAATACCCCCAAATCTAGCTGTTTATATCTAAATAATAATTAACATAAATACCCCCAAATCTAGCTGTTAATATCTAAATAATAACATACATAAATACCCCCAAATCTAGCTGTTTATATCTAAATAATAATTAACATAAATACCCCCAAATCTAGCTGTTTATATCTGAATAATAATAAACATAAATAACCCGAACCTGTTTGAAGTAATCCATGTTAGGACAGCCTCCTCATCCAACAATGAATCTGTATTTAAATCGTAAAGTTAAATATCTTATACCAAGGGAACAATTTTTCATTGTTTTTTTTTTGGGGGGGGGGGGAGGGGGGTGCATGAAACAATATTTTTTCTTATCAAAAATTGATTCAGATATATTTTCAATTATTTTTTTCAGAAAATGAGGAAATGTAAACAGATTTTAATGGTGGGCATCTTTTCGAGGTCCATTTCTTAAACATTTAAAGTTTTAGACTTTTAAAAGGCTCTAGGCTGATGGGCTTGTATATATAAGAATCTAAGATGTAGAGCCTTTTCAACATTACCACATGCTTGAAAAGTTTGCTTATATTACTTTCAGTAAAATTTTTACTCTCACTAAAGATATTATCCAAAACGATTTGTGAAGATGTTTTTTAAAATCACTGGTTAGTATATTTGAACAGAGAAAAAATTGGCAAATGTAATATTATAAAAGCCAACTTATGGAGAATACAATTTTGCAATGGGATAAAAGACTAACATTCTTTTTGTGCACTTTTATCGAAAAAAATGTAAATGTTTAATAACGGAGCTCAAAACCAGGCCCATCCCTAGACACAGTCCTTAAAACGGCACTGCCGACAACGGCAAGGGGCGTACACAGAAATATTTCTTTCCCAATAATCCACTAGCTATAAAGAAACCATCATTAAAACTTAAAGATTTTCAGGTAAAAAAGAAGGATATCATACTTTAATTACCTTACTTTTAATCAGACAAAGCTGTCAAGAATAAAAAAGTACATTTTATAAATAATCAATTCAATGAAGGTTTACTTTAACTTAAAGCAGCACTCTGACCCTTTGATTTACATTTCTTTAACCTTTAAAAAAACATTTTAAAAAAGCATTTCGATACTAAATATTAAGACATTAGGATAAAATACAAAAAGCGTTAGGAAAATAGAGAAATAATTGAAAAATGTCCGAATGGTTTCTCAATTACGAAAGAAAAAACAGGATATAAATTTATTATTAGCTTGTCCCACTATTCTATGGATCTATAGAGTGTATTTGATTTACATGAACTGCACAAGATATGTATTTTCTTTTTCCTACATGTGCGAATAATGAATAAAAATGGAATTTAACTTAATCAAAATAATCTGACAAAAAAAAGAAAAAATAACCTCTGTAGATGCTTGGGAATTTTCTTCTAAAATAAACAAGAGAAGGAAGGCGGGATACTCCATACTTTTTAGCATATCGTGGATCATTCACCTCAAATATTAAACAACATTTTTTCAAAATAATATGTTGCGATCCCCCCTTTCCTCCAGCCCTTCTGTAAATATTACGCAATTTGGTTCTTGACGCAAATTAAACTAAAAAGTAACAAAATAATTATTTTAATTTTTTGTGATTTGTATTTATTATTGTTAAATGATTCAAAGGAATCTTATTAACTAGCCTCAAACTCTAATTCAGCATATATATCAATACAGTACAGTTGGTAAATATAATTTCAGTACCTGACAATTCATGGGTTATGCACCAGCCATGTAGCAATTCAGTATCTTATACATTGTATTGAAGTATATGTAATTGTAATCTTTATTACTATTATATCACCATTTCAGTTAGCGATTTTGTATTGATGTATATGCTGACCACTGTAGTTAAAGTTAAAGTTCAAAGTTTGAAATAAAAGAGTTTTTAACAGGTTGCAAACAAATTAGATATTTTTTAAGGATTAGAAAATTTTAATTTTTTAGTTCCTGTCAATAGACTTCAATTTTTAGAGTTTCCCGCTCAATTCATAACAGTACGTTAAAACCATCATCTAAGCAAAGATGAAGAAGATTTCGTCGTTTTCTTTCATGGAAAACGTAAAAAAAAACCCTCCTTTTTGAGGCCAAATTTAAAGAATTTGAGCCGCGGCTTAAATTTGAGAAGCGGCTCAGAAGCAGTTCAACTTAAAATTGTATTCAATGATTGAAGATTTAAGCCAGGTGCTTAATTGAAGCCGGTTTTTGGCGGATTTGAGACGCAGCTCGAATTCATTAAATTCGGACTCAGTTTACATAACCTCGATTAAAAATTATCACTTCTTAGATAAATTTTAGGCATATCCTTGTGAATTGGGAATGCTCTCCGGAAATGAAAGATATTTGAAATTACTTTGTAAATCACTTTTAACAAATCACAAACTTACCTTGACAAAAGTAATATCCAATGCATCAGTTTCATCATCAATCTTTTCCAGNATCTATACAGGGATAACAAGATTACATTCATTACAGTTATCCTCATCTATGCAGAGATAACAATATCACATTCATTGCAGTTATCCTCATCTATGCAGAGATAACAAGATCACATTTTTGTAATGATTATCTAGAATTTTCTGCGTAAAGGTAATCTAAATGTTTGCCCTTAGCAACTGAATACTTACAAAAGTAGACTGCTACAAACTCATTTTCTTCTAGAAGTTTTTCTAGCATTTTCCTATTCACCTCCTCAATTTCATCCTTAGTCTTCAAATAAATCAAAGTGTTAATTTCTCAGTGTTCTTTTTTCATTTCAAGCCCCCCCCCCCCCAGCGGTCCCCCTGAAATAATGAAAAATCACAGAGTAGAGAAATATACTAGAGAGAAAACAAAACATTCCGTCTAGAGTGGAAATAAAACTTTCCGTCTAGAGTGGAAATAAAACTTTCCGTCTAGGGTGGAAATAAAACATTCCGTCTAGAGTGGAAATACCATTTTCCGTTTTTAGTGGAAATACAACTTTCCGTCAAGAGTGGAAATAAAACTTTCCACCTAGAGTGCATATAAAACGTTCCGTCTAAAGTGGAAATACATCTTTCTGTCTAGAGTGGAAGTACAACTTTCCGCCTGGAGTGGAAATAAAACTTTCATCCGATACAACAAAGTGGTGCCTTTAAACTTTTGGGACAAAATTCCACCTTAAATATTTTCTTCATACTTTGTGACAAGTCTTTTGAATAGAGGATAAGGTGTGAAATCACGATTAAAAAGAACTTTCCCAATTTTTCAAAGCTTGAATACAGGGAATCTTCCCAATATTACCTGGAAAACATCTTGTGAAGTCAACCACTCTAATATACGGTCATCCTCCATTAAGTCACCGTCATAACTGATTTTAAAAGATGTTTAAAAATACAAATGAAAAATCATTTTTAATTTGTTTTTTACTTACACAACAGGGGACATTCTTCTAAAGTACACGAGGGCTGGAGTGTTGTATATGTTGTATTGCCTAAATACAGAAATAAATGGAAAAATAAAATTAAGATTTTCCAAAGATATTTGGTTTGTAGTGTATCTGACAGATTGAGGGTTATCAATATCATATACCTGGCAGCATGAGGGTCATTATATACCTGGCAGCATGAGGGTCATCATATACCTGGCAGCATGAGGGTCATCATATACCTGGCAGCATGAGGGTCATCATTCTTGACAAAATCAATTCCATAAAGATCAGCTTCATCATCAATATTCTCCAGCTGTTCAAGGATTAGATCACACTCAACACACTCATCGTCAACTAATCAATTTAATCAAATAATCAATTAATAGTATAATTGATCGTTCAAAATTGATCAGAAGTCTAGAATTCAAACAAGGCTTAAAATTTTAACTCTGTAATCACCAATTAAGCAAAAAACAATTAGGATTAGGATTTTTAGTAAAGAAAAAATTAGAAACCTGCCTTGCTTACATGCACATTGCACAACACTGCAGTGTCTACATTGTACACAGAGCCCAAAACTTAAGACAGAGTATCGGTATGAAAACCAGTTTTAAAACCCGGGTTTTACGAATGAGGTTAGGCAGTTTTGTGGATATCAATATTTTTGTTATGAAATATTTTCTTATTTTCTTAAATCAAAATTTACAAAATGTTAAGACTCCATAAAGTAAAATTTAGAAGTTTTGTTCAACAATACTCTTTTAAATTTCAGGCTCTGTAGTGCAAATTGTGCATTGTACTATTTATAAAAACAATAAAATAAATCATGTTGGCCAATATTTGCCATTTTTCATTGAATCATCTGGCAAAATTTAATGAATCGTAAAGATCGCTGAACTACTTGCCGCCGGTTCATAATTTGAATCACGAATATTCAAATGCTGACGAGTCTTTGACTTGGAATTTACGATTCAATATTTGAACTAGCGTTAGGTATTTCAATGACCTGGCTCAAACTCATTAAATTTAAAGAAAAGATTATATGATTGATGAAGAATCTTACAGAAGAAGACAGCAATAAGGGGAGATGATTCTAGTAGCTTATCAAGCATACGGTGGTTCACCGCCTCAATTTCATCAGCTAACTCCCTTAAACAATATGTTGTACGATCTATTATATTTAAATATGTATACTAAAGGTCGGGATAGTGCTCACTGCCAACTATATCTATAGGAGAAGGTCAAATTTATGCAACATTACTGGAAAGACTTTATGACCGATAGTAACCCCCTTATAGTTTTCACTTTACGGAAGGAAAAAGCAAATTTTTTAATTAACTTTTAATTAACAATTAAAGAGAGTGTTCGCGAAAAATGAAAGGGGGTATAGGCTTAATGCGATAAAAAAGCGCTTTTGATCGCCACTAATCTTACTTCTATCTGTTGCGTCTTTAAGTAGAAAAATGTTAAAAACGACTCAAACCGAAGAACGCAGCGTCCATACAAATTTGGAAAGATGCAATATTCAATTCGGATCGTAAACAAATCAATTTAATTCCAAACAATTCATTCAGATATTACAAACAGTAGTCATCGATTATTTTTCGACGCATTCGTATATAGTTAATATTTCATAATATTATATAATATATATATATATACAGATAATTTTATGAATGTTTAAATTCCATAGAACAGAAATTAATATATTCTCTTTGTTAAATTCTTTCAAATTCTTTATTATATACCTATTCTCATCATCCGTCAGCCATTCTAGCACTGAGTCCTCTGACTGAAATTTTAGAAAATTAAAATCTAAAAATCAATGAAGATTTTTATAAAAAATAAATAAAAACAAAAACGTCTTTATACAGTGATAACCAGAACTGTAGAATAGGATGACGACATTAAAGCAATACTGAAGGGAATTCGATGTTTTTGCAAAGAAAATATCTTTACTAGAAAGTAATTACATCACTTACTAAGTGAAAGTCTGTTTACTCTGCACAATTGCTGATATCCTTTGGCAGAGGTTTCTGGTTATCACTGTACGTTAAAACGTTGTTTAATTGTGATTTCCTATTAAACTATTTAATGAAACTTCTTTTTTTTTGGAACATTTTCTGCTGAATATTCAGGATGAAAATGTTTCCAAATTAGACGGTAAAGTAAAAGTGCAAAACTAATTGAAAATTCAAAAAATAGAATCCTTAATTAATTCCCTGATTTGTAAATGGTGTTTAAATCTTTATTATTATTGAACTCAACAATATAAAATGAAAAAATAAATTCTAGTTAACCTTCAGATCTCCTTCAAATGTGAGAGGGTTGCCATTTCTGAAGTAAACCAGAGCAGGGAATGTTTTGATTCCATACCTTAATTTATAATTATATTATTCTGATTCTCATATTTAAACTGCAGAGGTCCGAACTTTTGTATGGAGTATCGCTAATCTTGAATGCTTCATCTCGATAATTAAAGTAAACACTTTAAATTTTAGGATAAATGCTTAAACAAAGTCATCCTTCACAAGCTAGGTATGACTCCGACTATAGTAATTAAATTGATCAGTATATCTGCATAAGATGTAGATCAATGCTTGATCCAGAGATTAACAACTCAAAAGTTCTGACCCCTGAACAAATTGCACGTGTTGCCCAAAGTTCGGCTTGAAACTTGGAACTGAAATTTACTGTGAATTATTTATGAATTATTTATGAAGTTTTGTCCAGATTAAAAGGTGTGAATTGGATTCTAACAATTTCTCTATTGTTTCTACAGCAAAATGCGCAAGTCCGTTTCCAAGAGATTTTACATTTTACAATTGCAGTTTCTAATAAAAATAACCTGGATATTTAAGAGTATCATTGTGAATTGGACATAAATGTTAAGTAAAGGGTACCTTATAACAACGTCTAGACATATTTACATATTTACCGTTTAGCAAGTTGTGGGTCCTTAAGCTTAACAAGTTGAATTCCAAACATATCACAATCATCATCAATATTTTCAAGCTCATTGATCATCTGGTCACACGTTCTACAATTCTGCTTGTCTACAAGAACATCATTATTATTATTATTAATATTATTATTATTATTATTATTATTATTATTATTATTATTATTATTATTATTATTATTATTATTATTATTATTATTATTATTATTATTATTATTATTATTATTATTATTATTATTATTATTATTATTATTATTATTATTATTATTATTATTATTATTATTATTATTATTATTATTATTATTATTATTATTATTATTATTATTATTATTATTATTATTATTATTATTATTATTATTATTATTATTATTATTATTACAGAAGAATACTGCTAGGTATTGAATATCCTCCACCATTGTTTCCAGCATTGACCGAGTAATCAGCTCTATGTGGGATTCAACCTAAGAACAGTTTACATGTTTTAGGTAAAATAACACTCATCTACAGTACTTAATCTATAAATGCACTATATTTAAGGGATAAGTAACTGATCCCTTAAGTTAAGATCAGCTTAGTATATACCCTAGAGGAACAATAAGACTAAAAATATATTAATAACTGCTTTTCATATATTCACAACAGAAAAGATTTCACATCAGAGGATCTGCAGTACAACTAAATCCAAACATTGTAAAGATTCCGGCTCAGCATCTTTAAAATTGAGTTAATGAAAAGGGATTGATCCCCCCGGAGAATGATTGATTGCTAGATGTTTACCTTCATCTCTATTAACCAGTCTAGTACCTCCTCCTCTACACTCATATCTCCCTCATACAGGGCAGGCACTCCATCCTTAAAAGGAATTGTTCACTTAATCTTATTATTAAAGGGATTTACAGTGACCCTCCATTTACAAAAAATGAGAATGGAAAATGAGAAAGATGTTTTATCTTAAAGGGACTGTTAAGGTAAAATGAAAGGGTGATATGCTGAAGCCTTAAACATTTTAGGAGTTGATCCGGACCAATAATCTGATATCCCTGTTTCGAGAAATTGATATAAGTCGTACAAAAACTCCTATATACGTAATCTAGTACTAGTCGACGGAGCCTTGTGGCCAAATACTGAACGGACATGGGTGATACAGACAGAGCCACTTGACCTGATACTGCACTGCCATTGGTAGAAATTCTGGTCACGTGATAAAGACGTAACAATAATATTTCAAAAATATCTATTAAAAATGAATAAGCATTATATTCAAATTGTAATAGGAGCATACCTAAAATCTTTAGGCAACTCTGGACTATCGTAATTTACAGATTAGTTCAGTATTTGCTGAAAGTGATCTGTTAGGAACTTTCATTCATATATTATATCATATATATCTGAGTTTTGGTATAATTTTGACACAGTTTTATATTAGTTTCTCGAGACAGGGATATCAGATAGAACTAATATTGGTCTTGATCGACTCCTAAAATGTTTAAGCTTAAGCCTATTTCATTTTACCTTACAGTCCCTAAAAAATTGTTAAATTCTCTGATTTCCTGAGTAGCTTTACTTTATACTAACGCCAAAACGGTAGAACTCGAACCTAATGTCCCAACTAAACTGTTTTAGGATAAAAAGGAATAAAAGTTCTATTTTCAAAGGTTTTTTACTTCGTTACAGAGAAGAAAATAATAGAGTGCGAGATTTAATCACGTCAGGATATAATCAAGAAACTAGAAAAATGTTGAAAAAGTCCTAGTTTATTAAATTAGTAATTATCTTATTTATTTTGAAATAAGATAAAAGGTGGAATTATACCTTGAAGAAAACCAGGGAGGGGAAGGTTTCAACCCCAACTTCAATGGCAAAATCAGAATCTAAAAAAACATTAATATTTGTTAAACTGCAAGATTTAGAAATTAATATGTTGTTACAATTTACATTCTGGTAAAGGGTGAGTAAAGAAGTTTTTAAATAACAATAATCATTTTTTTGTAGGGCTAATGTTTAAGATAGAAAAAAAAATCTAGGAAATGTAGGTTTGAAAAAATAAACCTTATCAAATAAAAAACAATCCACAAATTTTTTATTCCAAAATACTCTTAAAAATTCAAAAAAAATATAAAACATCAGAGAAAAAATATTAAAAAATATTTCTCCAATAAAAGTGCATGCAATAAAATACTATAAATAAATCCTTAACATAAATATTTTTAGATCTAATTGTTAAGGCAGTTTTGTTTGAATCAACAGCATAATCTTATGAACCTTTATACCTGTTGTTTTAACCATTGATATTTTTTGCCTGTTTACATCATCATCAATATTTTCCAGCTCTGTTAGAATTGCAAGGCAGTCATCACAACCGTCATGGGTATCTGAACATTTTTAAACTCATTTAAAAGTATAAATTAAAGGGATTGTTTAAACATTTATAAACTCATTTAAAGTATAAATTAAAGGGATTGTTTAAACATTTATAAACTCATTTAAAGTATAAATTAAAGGGACTGTTATAAGCTCATTTTTAAGTATAAATTATTAAAGGGACGTAGACGTAGCTGTAAGTGACTAGTTACCTCTATTTATAAACAGGCCTATATCTGATTAATATCAGTTCAGCACCTTTTTAACAGTTTTTATTTCTGATCAGGAATGAATGAGATATCTATATTTGTCTGTATAAAAGTGATTATTTAATTGTTCAGGTAAAGGTTTAAGGGGTTACGTTGTGGATTGGTCGTGGACCCTTCTAAATCAAGGCAAAGTAACATTTGTTCCAGGGAAAAACAGGTTTAATTCGATCTCTTACAATAATTTTATTGCATTTTCAATCTAATAAATGTTTTGAAAGTGTGTGTTTTAATGAAATTATTAATATCGATTACACTTTAGTGAATCCATCTTTTATCAAATTAATTTATGGCACTGGAGTTGGACTCAGCTAGGAGCTAGTTGATAGAATATTCGACTATCTTATGTGTTACACATTCACGTTTTCTATTTTACACAGCTACGGTAAAGAAATACTTATTTACAGGGAAGTTAAAGAAATTTTACTTAACCAAGAGTTCCCAAGACCAATTTTGCCAACAAAACATTTAGATAGGAGCATGGTATGTTTTTTTGGACACAATTGGTCGAGGAAACCCATGGTTAGATAACATTTTTATTTTACTAAAAAAAGAAGTTGTACCTAATTTTATAGTCTTTTCAGCTGAAAATTATTGAAAATTTCGCCGAGCGGGTGGTTATTTTAACGTCCATCAGTTAAGGAAATCACGGGTCGGTAATATTGGCTAAAAAACATTATCTTTCAATGTCTATACTTACATATAAAGACTGCAATAGCATCAGAGTTTTCAATTGTACTTCTCAGTACATCTCCTTCTTGTTCCTCAATAGCCTGAAGTACGAAAATATCGTTTAAATTATCAGTATTCTGATATTGTCTAGACTCCAGAACTTGGTATTCTTGACCCCTGATTAGTGATGGTCGCGTTCGTAGTTTTGAAATCGTTTGTTCATGGTTCATTAACGACTCATTTAGTTAGAAATGTGAATATTCGTTTATTTCACAAATTAAAATTCTTTCAGCGAAATCGTTCCCTATGGTCACAAACAATTTTTGAATCGTTCGTGAACGAAAAAGTTCACTAACGACTTCTATATCAAAAATTTCTAAATCGTTCGTTCAAGGTCTGAATGAAATAAAATTCAAACGATCGATAACGATTTCAAATAGTTCATTTTGTTTATTCCTGTGCATTTTGAAGAAAAAAAAACTATCGTTTTCTTGCCCTGAACAATCCAATTCGTACATTCATTGTTTGTTAGTTTTTTTGAACGACACCGTCATTAATAACAAATTTTGTTATTTTTGAAATATTTGAGTTTTTAACGAAAACGACGCCAATCTCTACGAACCCTTAATCAGGAATCCGTTTTGTTTACAAATCCTCATATTATGAATTATATTAAAAATAACATGAAGAAAGAATTAATACCTAAATACCCATTTTCTCACCTTTTAATCATGTTTTTACGTTTAGCAAATCTTCCACATTATGAATTGCATATTTAAAGGGACTGTAAGCGTAATATCAGGTGACCCTTCATGCAAAGACATGGCAATTCAACAGATCCTTTGAGTCTGATCAATTACGAATTAGATATCAGAAGAAATTCAGAATTGAGAAACTCACAGAAATAAACACTTTTCGAGTCAGAAAACGACGGTATCTTCCACATTTTTGATCAGGATAAGGTTTTAAGGGTACCGTTGTAAACCAAGCATTGCCATCTTTGCATGGAGGGTAACTTGAAATTACACTTTCAGTCCCTGTAATAAAATTTTTCTTAAAGAAATACCATTTTCAATTTTTTTTTACCTCGTTGCTTGGATCTTTCTGTACCATCATCCATTCTAGAATACTCTCTTCTCGTTTCAAGTCTCCAGCATAGATTGTTGCTTCTTCGCCAAAATTTCTAAATATTTTTTTATCAAAAGAAAAATTTATAATTGGCCCTTTTTTTGTTTTACAACATTGTTCGTTCGTCATTTTTTCATTAGTATACAATACATTCAGGAGATATTGAATAGAAGGAGGGGGCGATAGGGTTTCCTTACACTTTGCTGTGACGTTTTTGGACTGCTGAAGAACTAGTTTTTGCGTAACAACAATAACAAAGGCAGCCGATCTAATGTAAACAAACATGAGTTAGTAAACTGTGAAAGTAGTATTAAATCTTGTTAAAAAAGATTGAAAAAGTTAAGAATTTTAGTTTTATAAGCAAAGGACCTTATTACAGAGACATTTTCAATCAAATTCAAGGTTATCCTGCCCCCCCCCCTTGTCCCTAGATGTCTGTTTATTATTTGTGTTATTGTTTACAATCTTTATTATTGTTGTTACGCGAAAACTAGTTCTTCAGCAGTCCAAAAACGTCACAGCAAAGTGTACGGAAACCCTATCGCCCACTTCTTCTATTTAATATCTCCTTTCAATACATTCATATTGTTTTTTTTTATTATTTTGAAACATTAAACAGAATCCTCAGATTCCGGGATTTTCAAAATAAAGATTTTGTCCAAAGGCCGCAAGGAATTCTAAAAAATTATTCTTCAGGTTAAGACTAAAAATGACTTAAAATCTTTGTTGAGGCCAGCTTTCCTTAAAGTATAAAGTCCAATTTAAAATCAGCAATTAATTTTTTTTTAAATTCCACGTATTCAAAATTGTACCAATTCTAATCAATACGTTCTGAATTTTGACAATTTACTTCATTTTCTGTGTAGTATAATTGTCCTCAAGTCAGTTTAAATAAAAAGATTTGGACATGTCAATTCTGTAAATGGAGGGTCACTTGTAATGACATCTACTGCAGTCCCTTCAAAGAACATGCTTTACCTGAAGAATACAATGGCAGGGAGAGCAAACACTCCAACTGTTTTGGCCAGCTGTTTATCCTCAAGCTTCACAATAGGTATTCCAGCAACATCAGCATCATCGTCAATATTTTCTAGCTCCTGGAGTTAGGGATGGCCGTCATTTTCGGATACGTTTTTAAACAGCTTTTTTTGATTTAAACTTTCTCCACAAGAATTTGATATTTTTATCATTTATCAATAAAACAAAATGAAAGCAGTTTTACTTATCATACATAATTTAAAATACGATAATAACCAGAAAACACTGAAATAGGAAGACGACATTATAGAAATACTTAAGTGCATTTGAGGTTGTTACATCGCAAAAAGTTTTACTATTTATTAATTTATTAAATTTGTAATTTAATGAAATGGGTTTAATTAAACTGCACAAATGCTGTATCTCATTTGCTCATTGGGCTTTTTATATCTATAACTTGAATCTAAAAGTCGTCTTCCTGGGTTTTCTGATTATCACTGCAGGATGAACAAATATCTCAGTTTCTTGTTGGGCAATTTTGATTAAAAAAAGTATAATGTACAGTAGTATGAATAAAACTGTGTAATAGGAAGTAGATATTTCACTAATCTTATGAGCATTTGATGTTGTTATGAAGCAATTAGTTTGATCAACTTTTAAAGTGAAAAGAGTCTCTGAATGTTGCAAAATTGCACTGTTGTTCACGCTCTATTAAATACTTAAAATCAATACTTGAATTAAACAGCAGTCTTTCTATTCTAAAGTTTTTTGATCTCATTGTATAAAAAACGGTCCTCAAAACAATATCCATCGTCCATCCCTACCTGTAGGACTCCGGCACACTGCTTGCAATCAGACTCAGAATCTTGAAAAAAGAAAATGAAATAATATATATGAAAAAATTTTTAGCTTCAAATTGTCGATTAGAAAGGCGCCATTTTTAATAATTCTAAAATTTTCGCGGATTTTTCTAAATGAATTGACGCATTATCAAATATCCCGGTAGGTATTTAAAGTTTTGACGGTCAATAAACCTTCACGTCATGATTAGGGGGGGAAAAATAAAAAACTGGACATTAAAGGCAAATTTTTTTCATTCTTTTTAATACTTTATACTTAAAAAATTTATCTATTTTCTCCTAATGAAGGGTAAGAAAAAAATAATTTCGAGAAAATATACACCTCATACACCCCTGCATGTCAAGTAAGGTTGTAGGTTGCCATAAAAAGATTGGGTCCGATCGGGTTCAGCCCGTGTTTATTGAATATAAACGAATAGGCAGACAGGCAAAGTTTATTTATAAAAGATAACTTACAGAAGAAAACCGTTAAGAATTCATTTCTTGAAATAAGTTTCTCAAACATCTTCTTGTTGACTTTCTCGATTTGATCAGAGATCTCCATAACAGTTGGATCAGTCAGCCAATCCAACATCTCCTCTTCATCAAATAGATCACCTGAACATAGGAATCTGAAGTTAAAGAGACACGTCACGAATTTCAAAATGAGGACTTTGATTTCTTTTACAGGGTGTCCCAATAAACATGGGAATTCAGTGACGAATTCGATATCGTCTTTTTAAATAATTCTTTGATTTAGTATAGTGATACCTACTGAGAAAGCTGTAATCTTTAAGGGTTTCGTCTGCTATGTTCACATTTTGTTTGTTTATGTTTTGACTGCATATACGGTTGTACTTAGTAAAACAAGGAAATTGCAGTATACAAACAGAGTAAACTTGTCCGTCTTCACTGTTCATCTTGCGGAGACATTATATACACATCTTTAGAGCCATTTACTGTTTTCATAAAATAAACTCTAGCAGACATAATAATATTATGGCTTTTAAAATTAGATATTACAATGCTAATTAATAACAAAGACGATATCGAATTCGTCACTGAATTCCCATGTTTTTTGGGACACCCTGTAGATAGACATTGCATGAGGGTCTAGTTTTATATTTTGTATACAGGGTGTTTCATAATTATTTAATACCCCTAGTCCTTACATTAAAGATCAAAGTCTATTTAAGAAGTTGCCCCTTAACTGTCATTTTTATTGGGACACCCTTGTCGTGAGTAAAGTATCAAACTGACATTAATAATTATAAATGTTACAGGAACGAGTTATAAATTTTGAAAAAGAAACTTTAAAAAATAAACTTTAAAACAGTATCTTTTTTAATGATTCTTTTATTTCTTTATTTTATTAAACTCTTTTTAAAATAGCAGCCCTCGACTATTAAGTGTCTAGTTTTTATAAATGTAAAGGTTGTTTCATGACAGCTGAAATATGACCAACATGTCGTCTTTGTCTAACATACTTTGCGGGATTTATATTCGGCAACCTGGTTCAAGGTAACATTTTTCAATCAAATGCGAGCTGCCATGTTTAAAATAATTTTGTTTTTAAATTACAAAAGTACACTATTAGAAATATGTTAGAAATATATATAATGTTAGAAATGTTAGAGATATCCCTGTTTTCTGTTACTAAAGCCGAACTAAATGTTCGAAATTGAGAACAAAATGTGTTTTCTAACAGTGTATCAAGAACTGCTTACCATCATATTTGACGTAGTTTCCCTTTCTAAAGTATCCAAGACCAGGAGGAACTCGGTTCCCGTATTTTTTAGACATCAGAGGATCATTTATTTTGGCTATCCTAAATTCAAGATTTATCTATATAAAAAAGCTCTTTGCTCATATATATATCTTTATATGTTAGCCATAGCTGGAAAAACGGCTGGACCAAATTAGCTGAAATCTTTGAGGGAACCATGGGTATGACGGGGGTAAAAAATAATAAATGTTTTTCTTCCTCAAAATTTAATTTGTTTAAATTCCACGTGCAACGCCTGGCACTTTAAGCTAGCTTAATGATATCTTCGGATATCAGAAATTTCAAGTTTGAGGGTATTCACCATTTCCTTTAGATTTTAAACGATATGTGCATTAAACCTTTTAAATTAAAAGTTATATGTTCAAATAAAAAAACTTTGAATTTTCATCTGAGAATTTTTTCTTGACAAACTTGTAAAAAAAAGCTCTGGGGGTCATCTTTCTTGGACACAGGTGATTAAAGGGTACCTTTATTTACCGTTTTTGGCCCTTTAAGAATTAAGTTGACAGTCCCTTTAAATTGAATCTCCACCTGACTCCATATTCTGCTGCTTCGTCATCAATTAGTTCAAGATGTCTGATCACTTTAGTCGAGTCTTCATTCTCGTCAACTAAATATATAAATTCTTTTTATCTTGACTTGATGGTGTAAAACTTTAAAATTTTCTTAACATTTTCAACATTTCTTTCCTGAGCTGAAAACTTTAGAATCGTGGATTTCGAGATTAATGCTTGATCTTCTCTTTTTCTTAATATCGAGACTAACCTAATCTTGTACTTGTATCCTGAAAAGTGTATAAAATTCAACCAATCAGAGTCGCGTACATAAAGCCGATAAATTTGAAATTTTGCGCGCCATTTAAGATTATATATAGAAACGGGTGAGACTCTCTAATTTAAAAAACCAGGTTTTTGATTTTTCTCTACAATAGCCAAGAAAGAAAGGTTTAATAAGAAAATCAAAAGTGTGTCCATTGAACTCTATCCCCGTAGTAAATTTTAATTCGAACAGGACCTGCCCAGTTTGTACCGGCCTACCAGATAACAGCGTGTACTGACCCGATCCTATGCAATGGTACAGTACGTCCCCCTAACCAGACTAACATACCACAGGGGTCAAATTTCTTGGCATAGTCCCGGGAGAGGGCTAACTATGACAACTCCCATGGCGCGTCCAAACTTTTTGCAGTACCTAGGCCTATTTGACCAACCCCTCTGGCTTAGTCCACCGTGATTGGATACTCAGATTTAGTAATCGTGATTAAGGATATCTCATTCTAAAGTGGCTCAGTAACATTTTGCCTAGTACAAGTTCGCCTAGTACAAGTTCGCCTAGTACACTTTCGCCTAGTTCAAGTTCGCCTAGATAACATTTTGCTTAGATAACATTTTGCCTAGACAACATTTCGCCTAGATAACATTTTGCCTAGATAACATTTTGCCTAGATAACATTAGAGAGTAATTTTCGCCTAGATTAACATTCTTCAAATTAACCAGCTTTTGGAACAAAAAAATACGCAATTTTTACTGTAAAAATTTCACATTTTTTTTTGTAGTTTAAATCATTCAGTTTTCTACTGGCATTGATTTCGACATGACGTCCTTAATTCAGGCAGGGAAAACCAAACGAGGCAGACCAGCCATAATTGATTATCAACATTTCTCATATGTCTCCAATGGACCTGGTAGTCAGAAAGTTTATAATTGGCGCTGTTCAAACAGAAAATGTGATGCCACCTTAGGAACAAGGAAATCGAGTGGAAACCTGGTCGGGGATACTCTTTAAGAAAAAATTTGTAAACATTATAATAATACATTTTTTTTGCTTTTAATTGAATTTCTTGAAAAAAAAGAAGAACTTTATAAATTTTAGTGAATTTATCTAGGCGAAAATTACCTTCTAATGTTATCTAGGCGAAATGTTGTCTAGGCAAACTGTGTTTAGGCAAAATGTTATCTAGGCAAAAAGTTAGTAGGCGAACATGTACTAGGCGAAAGTGTACTAGGCGAACTTGTACTAGGCAAAATGTTACTGAGCCTCTAAAGTTTCAGCTCTGGAAGGATATTTCAAGTGACTCTGCAATTCTGATTCACATCGGGATTCTTGAAGCCGTAACATGTAAGTAAAATTAACGAATTTGAGCCGCATCTCAAATCTGCCGATAACCAGTTTCAATTGAGCGCCGGCTTAAATCTTGAAACATTGAATACAATTCTAAGTGGAAACGGCCAACCATATTTGAGCCGCAGCTCAAATTTTTAAATTACGCTTCTGCATTATTTTTGGTCAAGCAAAGTTTGAAAGGAAACCGTTGTGAATCCTGTATGTAACTCTTGGATTGGAAGGTCTCTAGAAATGTAGAAATCATGTTGAGAAACTCCTTCTATCTTTATAAATATACATATTTGTTGTTTTGCTTGTATCCATTAATTAATTTCAAAACGGCGAAATCCATCTGTGTCCGAATTTAATGAATTTAAGCCGCGTCTAAAATCCCCCAAAAACCGGTCTCAATTGAGCGCCGGCTTGAATCTTGAAAAATGTAATACAATTTTAAGTTTATCCAACCATATTTGAGCCACGGCTTAAATTTAAGCCGCGGCTCAAATTCTTTAAATTCGGCCTCGGGCCGAACTTTTTTTAAATAGTAACTCACATGAACTACAGGAAAGGTTTAAGACCTGTTGAAATAAAAGGGGGGGGGGGGTCGTTAGCTAGTTCTAGGTAAACTTACAAAAGAAAACTGCCAGGAACTCAAAATCATCAATCATCTTGATGAGAAGTTCTCTATTGATATTCTCAATTGTATCCTCCTTCATCTGATAGAGCAACCAGGTCAGCAGTTCAGTTTCTTCGGCAGCATCTCCTATAAACACACAGATAAATACATTTACAGTCCTTTAACTTAGAATTTCGAGGCCCAGCAGGGATTCAATTTATATTTGACTCGGACATTTTTTGTTTTTCAAAATTCGCACTTTACAATGTGACATCATATAATTCAAAGGGCCAATGAAAGAGATAATCAAAATACACCTTATAAACAAAACAAAAAACTCTGTTCACTTAAAAAACACTGAAAATCTCTAAGAAAAATGTCATTTTGACTTCATTTCTAATTTGAAGCTCTAATTCTTCCCCCATGATGGTTTCCCCCCAAAAAGTAAGGAATTTTATAATAATTTTCTAATCTATTAAATCTAATTATATAAAGAGTTTGCAGTCTTTTCAATTATGATTTCCTAAGAAACTTGGAAGGATCTAAAAAGTAATTTATTAATAATGGTTTTTTTTCAGTTATAATATAACGTGATAACCAGAATAAATTAGAATTAAGGTCGTCATCGTTCAATCTTTTAATTAGACACGTCGCCAAGTATTTTCTGAAGTAATACCGTCAAAACTAAGAAAATGAGCCCTACGCATATTTAGAGTTCAGCATAACAATTACAAATTGACAAACTTCACCGAAATTTACAACTAAAAAAAGATTTCTGATTTAAAAAACATGTTATTTTGGTCATCAATGTATTAAATCGTTTACCATCATAAATACTCGGCTGCTTATCTTCAAAGTATAATATAGCCGGGAACTCTTCTATTCCAAACTCTGCTGCAAACTCAGGATCATCTGTTTTCACAAACTTTACTCCAACAGCTTCAGCATCATCATCAATCTGCTCTAGTTGTTTTATAGCTTCATCACACGCCTCATTGTCAGCCACATCTGGAATAGTTGCAACATTGTTTACATATTTAAAGGGATTGTCGGCGTTTTTTACCTGACCCTACATTTAAATAAATATTTTTCTATTAAAAACTTACGGAGATGTCCTTGTTTTTACACCTGAATATTGACAATTTTCATTGTAGTTTCTCTATATATGTGACTTGCGGATTAACCAGAAAACTTAAGCATAAGGAGACGACATTGAAGTAATACTGAAGTGTTTTTGATGTTGTTCCTAAGCAAATAGCTTTGCTTATAACTTATAAACTTACTCATTAAGTTAAATGGGTCTGTTTACATTGCTCAACTGCTGTCTCTCATGTTCATTGGACTATTTAAACTCATAACTTGAGTTTAAAAGTCGACTTTCTATTTCAGAGTTTTCTGGTTTTCACTGTCAGCAGAAATTATCTCTTTTGAAAGAAAAACGACTATATCATCCTGACTGCCACACAGACAATATCTATTTATGCAACTGTCTTGTGAAGTTATCATTAAAAATTTTGAATTTTTAAACCGAAATCAAACAAAAAAGTAAAAATCACAACCAAAACATATAATAATACAAAACAGTTGGATATATAAATTCATTTAATTTAAGTTTTATCAAAATGTTCGATTTTTTTATTGAAATCCGCGAAATGAAAAGGGAAACCTGCTTTGCCGGTATAAAATGTTACTTATTTGCCTGGGAACAAGATCATGAAATTGTGAGTAAAAACGCGCGATTCAAATTTTCTTAAAATTGTATAAAGGGTTAATGGGAACATGGATTTTAAACAGAGAGAAACTTGAAATTACATGGACAGAACCTTCACACAATATCAAAATATCACAAGATTTTAGAAGTAAATTATGAAAGCTTATTGTGTAAGAAATAATGGAAAATGTTTATTTTTTTGCATTGATAAAAGAAAAATAATTTACATCTTAAACATAAATTTTTCTAATTAAAAAACATGCATATATATGAATACTTACTGTAATGTAAATCAAATCAAGTCCTTGATTTAAACTGGAAAATTAAAACATTATAAAGGAATGAGTCTTTGCAACCTCGGCTTTCTAATCCCTATATCTTTGCATTGCAATCAAATGTAGAATAGACCTTTGATATTTCAAATTATGAATTCTCTGACCGAATTTAATGAATTTGAGATGTGTCGAATGTCGATGAACACCTACTGCAGGTTCCACCGATTGAAAGTTAAAGATTAAGGGAGGATTTGAATCAGTGATTCAACTTTAAACTGGCGGTAGGCAATTCAGATAGGTTGAAACCTGACTCAAATTCTGGCTTTCTGTTTGAATAAGCAATCTAAGTTTCAATTTGATTATTTCCACCATCAGGTTGCAATTGTATAGGGATTAGAAAATTTGAGTTTGTGGCAAAGACTTGATTTCTCGAGCTGGAAAATTAAAATTAAAATTTTATACTTACATATGAACACCATGACAAAGCTGTGGTCCTCCATAAGATCATGAATTTGGTCTGAGCTAAAAACAGATTCAAGTTAATTGAGACATCACAATATATTTGACAAGGATTGTACTATGCACACTTCGTAATAAGTCTGGCAACAAATATTTTAATGAAGATTTGCATTGCAGGGTGTCTCCCAAACACGTTATATTAAGAGAATTTACTGATTTTAAGACTGGTACCAAAAAAAACGTTTGGTTAAAATTGGTGACATTTTTCAGGCCATTTTGTCTAAAAAATCTAAATCTTAACAAATCAATCAACCAATCAAATAAGCTCTTTATTCATCTATAGTTTCTCTGCAAAGGTGACTTGCGCATTTCTTGGTTATAAGAAAACAATGGTAAATAAACTGAATTAAACATTTTTCGGGTCAGAAACGACGATATCTTTGTATTTTTAATCAAATTAAGGTTTCAAGAATACCGTTGTTAATCGGGCATTGTCATCTTTACATGGAGGGTCACTTGAAATTACACTTACAGTCCCATTAAATTTTTTTGAATGGTTAAAGTGTAAAAGACGGTAAACCTGAGATCTTCGATAACATCTTGATTTGATTTAAACTCCTCATCAACCCAGTTTCTAATTGATTCTTCGTTCATAAGATTATCTAAATACGATATTTTATGAAAATATGTTGTACAATTTATGTATAGTGGTATACGGCGTTTATATCACTACAAAGCTGACGCCTTTTTGTTTCTTCTTTGGTTTAAGTTTTTTTCTCCTGCAGCAGAGACAAACAAGCATGCAAACAAAAAGAATATATCTTTTCTTTACGGGAAAAAAGCTTTTCTTTAGATTTTTATTGTTTTTCGATAAACCTCATGTAAATGTATTAAATTTACTAAAATAAGAAGAAATTTGAATTCATTGTTTTGTAAACTATTTTAAATATTTGAATAATTTGAATATTTCAAGTATATTTTCAGGGCTGAATACACAAAACCTATTCTTACATTTAAGAATATTACTGGATTTACTTTAATTAAATGAAAATATGGCAAGAACAAAAAATATTTGTATAATTACCTTCAAACACAGTTGGTTCTCCATTCTTGAAGTAAATGAGAGCTGGAACATTTGAAATGGAAACATCTTTCATTTCATTTACATTCACGCTACAAAACATTCATTATTAAATCTAAGAATTTATACACAATACTTTGCTTGTCTATGGGTGTTTGTTTGTTTGTATCCAAAAAAATTGTAAAAACGGCTGAACCAATCAAGCTCCAAATTTTTGAGGAAACTCACGTGACCCCAGGGAATGTTTGTTAATGCTCAAAATTACAAAAATGTCTGGTTAAAAGTTTTTGATTTTTGTAAATTTTTTAAAACAGCGAAAAATATATATATAAAAAATATATATTAAGTCCGCGAACTTTGTTTTGTTACAGTTTTAAATTGTTCAAAGAGAAGACGGGCCTGTTTGTTTGTTTGTATCCAAAAAAACGTAAAATACGACTGAACCAATCAAGCTCTAAATTTTTGAGAAAATTCACGTGACCCCAGGGAAGGTTTATAGATGCTCAGAACTACAAAAATTAGTCCCCCAAAAAATAGATTTAGTTTACTTATGAAAATCCACAAAAACTATTGTGAAATTAGCAAACTTTTTTTTTGTTATTGTTTAATATTGAACAAAGAGAAGATGCTTAAAGATAGAGCCACATAAAAAAGTTGAAATAGAAGATGGGCGCGAAGCGCACTTCTAGTTTAAAAAAAATGACCTGATAAATTCTATTCCTTGTCCAATAAAGTGTCCTTCTACTTTGTCCAGACCAGAGATGATCTTTTTGGAAATCTTGTCCAGGTTTTCATCTAGGAAAAAAAGTTTAATTGCAAAATCAAACAAATTTGTTCATGCAATATTAAAACCAAAAGTTACAGAGACATGAACAAATAAGGGAGATGAAGCTATTTAAGAGTTGAGGACAGAGATCGAAACTTTTGTTTGAAAAGTGCTTGTGTACAATGCTAGATTTCTATGTACAATGCTTGATCTCTATGTACAATGCTAGATCTATATGTACAATGCTAGATCTCTATGTACAATGCTAGATCTCTATGTACAATGCTAGATCTCTATGTACAATGCTAGATCTCTATGTACAATGCTTGATCTCTATGCCAACTCGAAGGTTGAAACTTTTAAATTTCAGGATCATTCATTTTTAGCAATTCCTACCATTGGGTTCCGATCAAATAATATTTAGGTAAAATTAGTTTAATCCTCCGACTGACAGAAGGTACGGATTACAAAAGTTTTGACCCTAGGACAGATATATCAAGTCTTGGTTGATACTTCAAGGATAAAATTCAAACTACAGAGTGTCTCTAAACTACAGGGTGTCTTTAAAAAAACTCTTTTAGACATTGTAGCACTTTCCATGGTTGGCTTTAAAAAATTTGGACATTTCCTATCGATTGATATCAATAAGAGGTATATGTAGCACAAAAATTGTTTAAGACACCCTGTGGTTGTACATACATGAGGTTTTAGGTCACTCTACAGGTTTCAGATGTCACTCTATCTCAGGGCCAGGGTAAGGGTTGAGAACAAATGAATTGAGAGGAACTTCAACACAGGATCATTCAGTACTCACATATCATCACAACAGCGTTATTTTTTCCAGCAACTATGGAGGGACCTTCAGCTTTATTAGCTTTGTTCTTCGTAACGTCTTCTTTGAGAGGATCATGAGTCTCTGCCTGTTCTGGTTTTTTACTGTGTTGTTTCTCTAGTTCCTTCTCAGATAGTTTTGATTTATTAGTCTCTGGCAAGATTTTAACCTCATTGGGGGGTTCTCTTTTTGGTTTTGATTCTATTTTTGGTTTATTTTCTTCTTCCGAAACCTTCGAGGAAGTGACTTTTGTTTCTTGGGCGTCATTGGTATTGATAGTTTTTGATGTTTTTAGTGGACTTTTTACTTTTGGTTCTACTGTTTTCGTATTTTGATTTGAATCAATGTTGATTTCTGATGAATCATTAATGGTTTCTGTAGTTTTAGATATAGCTTCCTTCTTCACCTTAGGTCCGTATTTTAATTTTTTCTCTGGATCTATTCTAGCTTTTGTTTCTGGAAGTGCATCTTTAAAGCTTCCAACCACCTTTTCTTTAGAAGTGACAGCAGGACTGTCTGATAAAAACGTCTCAAGCAAGTCTTTCTCTGGTTTCTCTAAAGTAACCTTTGGTTTTGGATTTGCTTTGTTCTTCGATTCTTTTGTATTTTTCTCAGGCTTTTGTTGGGTTGTTGGATTTTCTTCTACATTTGTATTTTTAGAATTAGTCTTTTTACTGAGGTTTTCAAGATTTGTTGGTTTATTTTCTTGTTTAGTGTCAGAAGAACCTGGATCTTTAACAATTTCACCTGTAGGCTTTGCATCAGGATGTATTACATTTGATTTATCTTTTGCTGATTTTACCTCAATATTTGTTTTTCCCTTTTCCGGTGCTGCAGATAAATCAGGACTTTGGTCTTTATCTTCAGTCTTAGGTTTGGTCATTGAATCTTGATGATCATCTTCTTCCGAAGTATCACTGTTATCATCCTCATCTTCAGTCTGATTATCTGAACTAGTTTTATCCTCTGCATAGGTCTCTTTATCAGGATCTTCTAATTGTTCTGAATTTTGTGGATATGAAAATAAATCAATTTCAAACCAACTTCTAGTCTCTGGCTTTTTGCTATTGGCACTTTGATCAGTTGTAGGATTGAGAAGGTCTATATCATACCAATTTTTGGTGGCACTGTTACAATTTCCTAGAAAGCTAACTTCATACCAGAATCTTTCATCATTGTTAATCTCTGTACAGACTATATTAAACCCATCTTGTTCATTGCCTAAAAGATCTATAGTATACCATTTTCTTTCATTAATCTCATCCTCATTGTTTCCAAGAAGATTGATCGTGTACCATGGAACCTCAATTTCTTCAACAACATTATCTCCAAAACCATCATCATCTACATTACCAAACAAATCCACATCATACCAATTCTTCTTTTCGTTATAAAACTCCTCAGAAAGCAGAGTCACCGAGTACCATGGTCGTCCCCTGGTATTAAAAAGGTTAACATAATACCAAGGTACTGTTAATTCATCATCACTGAAGAGATCTACCGAATACCATGGAGTAGGCATAACAACAACAGGTTCATTAACTTCTTCCTCAATATCTACCTCATCAAAATCATGATTGATCTGCTCCTTAGACAGAAAATATTCATCAGGGACTTCTTCCTCTTCCAGATCTTCTTTTTCTTTCTTTATGTTATCATTAACAACAGTATTTTCAAAAATGCTCCATCCAAAAATCCACGCAATCCAGCCAACAGGCTTTCTAGGCTTAGGTTCATGTCTGTGCAATGGAACAGGTTTGAGTTTATTGATGTTTAAAGCAGAATGGGATATTTTAGTTGCTGAACTACATGTTAATGGCCAGCAAGAGAGGCTTTGATCTTCTTGTGCCTGATCTTCATGTCTCAAAACCAGCCTCCCAGGATAATCTTTTCATATAGAAAATACTCTTTTAAACAGCTTCATTTCCCGATTTAAAAAAAAACAACATGACAGAAAAAAGAAATCCCATTAGTAATCATAAGCAAATTTGTGTTTAACAAAAATTTTGAAATACTAATCTACTTACAAAAGAACGCCACAACATTGTTTCCATTCTTGATTGAATCAACAATCTCACTATCATCCTCCTCATCCTCAGTTGCAGCTTCAGCTGCTTCGGTCTTATTCTCAACCTTTAAAAAAAAATACGTTTACATTTTTCATAAATAATGATTGCTGCCAATCAATTTCTTCCCTGCATTCACATTAAATTATACATTTCCATGATAAGGGTTGACTATGATTATTATTATTATTTTATTTTTATCATTCTTTTGTTGAAAACTTTAAATCTTTAGAAGGAAATATAAAGTCTACAGGAATTCTGTAGGATTAAATCTAAGTTGGAAATATAAAAGGTGTATGACATTCGGTTGCAAAAATCAGAGTTTTTAGCAAAGATTCAATTTTTTGCAAATCTAAGGATTTGAACATTTGCCTTCATTCGATCTTTACCTTTACAACCTGATATTGTAAACCTTTTTTATTTTGAACTTTGAAGGTAAATTTGAATTTGAAATATAGAAGGTCCTTGTCATCAATCTCTTTGGGTTTAAGAAACACCTTAGTCGTAGTTGCAGCAAGAACTTCTTCTTCCTTCTCTTCTTCCTTCTCTTCAACCACAGGTTCAGGTTCAGATTCAAGCTGCACCGGTGCTTTAGTAGGTTTAGCCCTTGGAGATGGTTTAACTTTCGGGGTTGGAGGAGGAGCCTGAAAATAATGGAATAATGATCTATATAATAAATTATTTTAAATATCCTGATCCCAACCACAAAATGATTTAACAAGTTCAACTTACAAATGCAGCACATGTCATGTGTCAAACAAATCACAAAACTGTAACTTTGGCAACTTCATTAACGTTTTGAGAAAAGAACAAGGTACGGACGAACAACAGCAAAGACAAGATGAAAGAAGGATGAACAATTCTATACTTAGTGCATGTTCGCAAAAAATGTGAAATATTTGGAAAAATCCCCTACCTGAGCTGCATCTGCTGCTGGTAGGATTGAGAACTCTCTCTCAGTTTCCTGAAGTTTAACTCCTGTCTGTGTTAGTGCCCAGCCAAGAACATCAGAAGCATCGTTAATATCTCCTAATTATAATAAACGTTAATATCTCTTAATTATAATAATTGTTAATATCTCCTGATTATAATGATCGTTAATATCTCCTAATTATAATAATCCTTAATATTTCCTAATTATTTTATTGAAGTGTAAACCCAGCCAAGGGTATGTATTATCATATAAGTTTATTGCTCCCATGTTGGAGAAATAATGCAAAAATGCAATTCAAGAATAAAGCCAAACAATCCAGATCCACTCCAAAAGGGTATTAAACCCTGAGTATGTTTGCAGCCTTAAATACATAACAGGCTAGACAGACAAGGGTATTGAACACCCTATACTTATCTAGATATATCAAGTTGGTCCCCATTTAAAGAGCGGTATAAAGGGTAGCTAGGGTAAGATAGATACTGGAACAAGAAGTAAAGCGGCATTTTTCTAGCCGGCAAAGAAAGCACCAAATTAGGCCATCTTATCCCTGGGATCCCAAAGACTTGGCAGTTAGCATGAAGCATCTGATCAGTAGAGTCAAATGGAAATATATTCGTCCCAAGCGAATGTCTTCTGTATTTAGATCGACTTTAGTTGGTCCAACACTAACCTTTGTATCGTTATAATGTTAATATATAGTTAGTGTGCAACCATGCTTTGTTATTCTACCCAATCTTGACTTTTTACAACTGAATTCTTTTCAAGTCTATAATAGTATTCAATGTTTCACAATTAGAGCCCCCACCCAGTAATGTTCATCGTTTTATATTATTCTTAGAAAAAATTCAATAAAACTTACAAGAGTTGAAAACTGTTTTATTTTTAAGTTAATTTGTTTTGATTAGACTTTACAATATATTTTATCCAAAAATTAAAATTAAAAATGTAACAGCGGATAAGAAATGATTGTTTCGAAGTGTCTTCCTTATACATAATAAAACAACGCATTCGTTTTTGCATCGTTTTGGATCGTTATTGCATCTTTTGGATTGCTTTGCATCGTTTTGGAACGTTTTTGTAACGTTTTAGAGTGTTTTTGAATCGTTTTGGGTCTTCTTTTGCATACATCTTGATTCAGGGTATTGCCTTAGTTAAAGAATAGAGAATATTTTGAATAAAATTTTTGATAACGTGTGTTGACCCTGAAGAAAATATAAGGAAAAAACTACTGAAAAATGAAGAGGAATAAATGAATTTAATGATGTATAATGTATAATGTATATTGTTTAACTCAGAGCAATTTTTTTAGAATACAGTTTACCCCATAGATTTTGAGACATCGAAAGAATTTATCTGAAATTTATCTGAATTTGTCTGAACAATTTTTCAATGGGTTTTATACTATTATGCATAAATTTTAGCAATTTTAAAAATAAATAAATAACCATGAATATGCGGGAACAGTTTTAAAGAGCCCCATATAATCCTTCAATAAAAAAAACTAAATTTCTGCAGTATTCTATTATCAGAAAGTAAGAAATACAATATTGTTAACCATTAATTTAAAACCTCTATAAAATGTCGTCTTCAACTTGAATCTCCTTTTTGATACCGCCAAACCAAATTTTCAGCCCGCAATTCCCTTTGTCCTCCTCCGACGGAGCTTAAAATATTTTCGTTGTTGTGAAATCATTAAAGTTAAGCAAAATATTTTCATAAGAAGCATTAGTGAATTTCGTTAAATATTCAACTGTAATTTTTCAGAAGTTAAAAAAACGTATTTCAATACTGATCAACAATAAGTCACCCCCGACCATCCTTGGTAATTAAATT